TTATCTGAACTAGTAAGAAGTATCCACTTTTGTTTTGGTTCTGACATTGCAGCAAATGATTAAATCTAACAATCGCTTATAAGTTATCATATCACATAAAACCGTGAAAATCATACTTTGTTGTCAAATTGTTAATATTAACAACGTAAGCATTGTGTGATTACATGTAATGTCCTTCCGACATGTATCCTTGTTTTCGCATTGGTCCGGTTGCAGTCTCTTTTTTTTCTGTAGCCACTCCGAAGTCTGAATGAAGTCTTTTGCATTTTACAGCGGGTGAATCTGTTGTCACTGGTGATTGTCGTTTCCTGGATCCTTTCTGGGTACGCCATCAAATTAATAAGTTTAATTATATCAAGTGCTGTGAGAAAAATCTATAAATCTTCACCTCCAACATCCTCACTCGCAATATAGTCTACTAGCCGAGACTCCTTTATGTGTACAGATGTGACGTAATGACGCAAAGACATGCTCGAATCTCCCGTGGAAATCTGGAACTAAAAACAGTATTACAAGCTTACCGTTTTGAATCGAGCTAAGGCAAGCAGAGAGTTTTGAACGCTGGTTGTGTATTTTCTCAAATATGTATTTTGGATCATTTTTAACCCCAAAAAATCTACGGACTGCAGCTTTAACAATAGTTTATGCATGAACTTAACTGTGAGCAATATAGCATTTATTAGTCTTTGTTAATGTTAGTTAATAAAAAAATTTAATGTTGGTTCACAGTGCATTAATGTTGAAAGATACATCTTGGGTCTTAATGCTCTAGTAAATGTTGAGATTAACATTTAATTAAGATTAATAAGTGCTGTAGATGTATTGTACATTGTTAGTTCGTTATCTAACATTACTAATGTTAACAAATGAAACCTAATTGTAAAGTGTTGCTTAACTTAAATCAAATCAAATGCAATGGCTTCACTGAATTTTTCAGTGCCAGAAACTTGGATGTTGTTTGTATTTTCAGGCTGAAGAGGGAGATATGGACGATGAGGATGAGGAGGATGATGAAGACGATCTCCTCATGCGGCCACAGAGGCGTATGCATGGAGATGAAGAGGAATATGAGGATGATGAAGGCTCCAGGCGGCCAGCACAGGCCAGTGTACTTTACCAGGATCTGTTGATGTCAGATGCAGAAGACGATGCCAGTGAGGAGGAAGGCGATAATCCATTCTCCTGTAAGTGTGTGTGTGTGTGTGTGTGTGAGAGAGAGAGAGAGAGAATTTTGCTGTATGTAACATTGATTCTCTCTGCTCTAAATTTGAAGCAATCCAACTGTCAGAGAGTGGCAGTGACAGTGATGCTGAACTGGGCCATCAGGAGAGCACCCGGATTGGAATAGAGCAGGACGAGAGTATGATGTCTTATGAGGGGGAGGGGCATGATGGGGTAACTCACATGGAGGACAGCAACGTCAGGTCAGAATACATGCACACAAACATATTCTTGTTGCCGTGATGTGGAGGTGACGCATTTTGTACACCGGTGGACATGAATAAAACTAGACCAGAAAAATGGGAAAGTGCAAATTCCATTAGAAGTGGATATTTACGATTAACGCAGCGTCCGTTAATTTTTGTCATCCTTTGGCAAGCTTTACATTATGATCCTGCTTTTATTCGTGCAAATACTTTGAACCTGAACTTGGCTTGAACAAACAGTAACACAATTATGCCAAAATGTCAGTTTTGTCGAGTATCCTCATAACATAAGAGCAAACTTGAGTTAAATACAGTCTTGAATGAACCTGAAGAGTTGTGAGAGAATAAGATGTGTGTGAGATCCGCGTCTCTGTCAGCAGCGGCTGGTCTTAAAGGGACAGCAGCCAATAAAGCTTTCTGTCAGTAAAGTTAATCAAAGAACAAAGTGAACAGAGAAAATCACTCACTGCTCTTGACTAAATATATGAGTCTATATTAATCTATAAGTTATGCCATGCAGACTGTTTGATAACTTTATTCAATTTCTGTAAATTGTTCTTTATATTGTATCATTTTTATCCAGAATAGGTCTCCTTTTGAAACTCTTTTAAATTGTAAGCTTTTGTGATGCAATAGAGATGATAGTACAAAATCTCTACCAGTTGACAATTTTTTACCAGTTTATCATGTCTAACCAATAATCACCCACCCCTATTTCAACAAAAGTTCTCTTTTGCTATCTTCATTACACTTTGCCTCAAAAAGAATCTGCAGTCTAATGCTCCAAACAAACATATAATCATTCCACGTGATCCAAGGCTATTAAAATAAACCATCCATTTTTTTCTGACGTTAGGATCCTTCTGAAGTCTGCATAGAAACGCAAATTAGCTGTTAAAACTGGACACGTCAAAGTGAACGTTCTTTTGCATTTCCATTTGTACTGTTGTCAAGATTTAAGCATATGCAATGTCAAAAATTAAACGGGCATCTGTATAGCGCATCCAGTTTAGACCACGAGTTGTCTGCGGGATCAGCCCACTTAACCTGCAACATCTACAGGATTTTCTTAGGATTTCTTAGGCTCCAGTCTGTAACTTTTTTTTAGGTTAAAATGATCCAAAATAAATTTTTGAGCAAGTACATAACCAGCCGATGTTTAAAACTCTCTGCTTGCCGTAGCTCGATTCAAAGCGGTAAGCTTGTAATAATGTTTTTAGTTCCAGTGGTAGTGGTGGATTTCCACGGGAGATTCGAGCATGTCTTTGCGTCATTACGTCACATCTGTACACATAAAGGAGGAGTCTTGGCTAGTCGGCTATATTGCGTGTGAGGATGTTGGAGGTGGAGATTTATAGCCTTTTCTCAGAGCACTTGATATAATCAAACTTATTAATTTGTTGGCGGATCCAGAAAGGTTCAAACGACAATCACCAGTGACAACAGATTCACCCGCTGTAAAATGCAAAAGACTATCTAAAGGGCGTTAAATGTAGTCACAAAGTTGTTGACATTAATTTGAAAAAGTATAATTTGCACTGTTTTACGTGATATGATAAGCGATTGTTAGATTTAATCAGCGTGATTCACTGCAATGCTTCTTTTCCCTTAGTTGGTCAGAACAAAAAGTGGATGTTACTTACTAGTTCAGATGACATTTTCTGGTGAAAATTATTATGGTCATACTTCCAAAATGAATGATCTGTGATTGTGAATGGCAGTATCCACATCGGCGCAGTGACTGACAGCCCGCACATCCTCCTCAAAACATTGGATTCATCCGCACTGTGCTGTTTTGAGAATGCAGAGGCACAAATCATGTAAAGTTGACAATTCGGCGAATAACTGAAATTACTAAAATAAATCGTCAAATACAGATGTATTTGAAAGGAATCACCTTCTTTTCCTACAGTCACCATATTGAGTTTTGTGTTCTCTCGTATTTTTTAACAAATGGCCTATCTTCCTCATACATTTCTGAATACACTCTTTCACTTACACTTCTTGTGTGTTATAGTTATGGCAGCTACTATGACGGAGACAGTCAGATGCAAAGGCAGGTGTCGAGCCCCAGGACAGGAGAACTGGACGTAGAGGAGATGTACGGGATAAGTGAAGAGGAGGAAGACGAGGAGGAGGATGAGCGGAGGCGAGGGCCTAGTGTTCTCACACAGGCACAGCTCAGTGATGAGGAGGAAGACAGTGAAGAATTCAGATCTGTTGGAGGAGACAGTGACATGGATTCTGACAACTAACACATGCTTCTTCCTCTTCTGTCATATGTGCTGTGTAACTGTCCTGGTGGTGATGATGGTTTTGCACATAACTGTATATTTTGTACTTTTCTAATGGTTGTGTTTACATGTTATTTTTTATATGGCTTAATTGAGCTTGTTCAAGTGAATCAATGTTTGTGATGAAGAATGTGAGAAATAAATTTGTATGTTTTTGAAATATACACATTCTGAGTTTTGTCCATCCTAAACCGTTTTTAACTACGATACATCATTCCAAAATCAGTTTTAAAACATTGAACTCAGACTCATAAGGACAGTTATTATTTGGATATAAAAAGCTCCTCCTATGTTATTACTTAACTGGAATTAAAGCATGTAGATTTGATCAGTAAACAAAAATATCTTTAAAAAAAAAAATCAGTTTCAAGAAAATGTTTAAATCTGTCCTGCAATGAGACTGTCATTGTGAAACGTGCAATGCAGAAATACACTAAATGGTCAAGTATCGGGATACCTGACTGTTATACAATGCTTTAAAATTAAAGTCCTGGAAAAACCCTTGAAAACAGACATTTTACCTGTCATTTGAGTTTTAAAGATATTGTTTGATAAGCTCTGATTGTAGTCCTTGAAAACCAAAAAAGTAGTGCTTGAAAAGTCCTGGAATGTCTTTTTACAGTATGTACAAACCTTATACCAACAGGGACTGTAATGTAATAGCATTGTAAATACAAAGAAGTTATTATGGAGCCCACTTTTGCACTTCCACTTTTCTGAGAAGACTTTAACAAGATTCTGAAGTGTTTCTGGTGGAGTTTTTGCCCATTCATTCAGCAGAGCATTTGTGAGGTCAGGCAATGTTTTTGGATGAGAAGGCTTGACTCACAATCTCGGTTCCAGTCAAGCTCTTCCACACCAAGCCCGTCCAATCATGTCTTTATGGACCTTGCTTTGTGCACTATTCCAGGGCCTTCCCCAAACTGTTCCCACAAAGTTGGAAGCATAGGATCGTCCAAAATGTCTTGGTATGCTAAGTATTAAGATTTCCCTTGACTGGAAATAAGGGAGTTGGCCCAACCCCTGAAAAACAACCCTATATTTTATTATCCCTCCTCCACCAAACTTTACAGTTGGCACAATGCGGTCAAGCACGTAAAATTGCTTGCTGACATGCTTTTTATGAGTCCCTTGTTTATACTGATCAGTTAGTGCATCTTCCATTATATCAACTTTCCAAGAGCTCGCGAGCAAAATGTAGTTATGATGTGCGCCTGATGGGGGCGACAAATCACCGCCTCTTATCACTAACTACACTATCGACCAAAGAAGACTGATAAAAAAAAAAAAACTTCCCGTAGTAGAATAATGGCGACTTGGGCCAAGTTAGGCGCTAGTTGGCGGAACGCAGTGAGAGGTTTGTGGCCTCTTAGAAGTGTATGGTATAGTCGTGCTGTTGGAGCGGGTTTGCTGGGTTCTGTTGTAACTGGCGGATTTATTCACTATAACAATGAACCCAGATGGACCCTTTGGCCACACATCGTGTACGCGGAGGAGGTAGCGAAGGTAAACAAACTTCCCTAATCACAGACAACTTTTAAAACAACCTCTTAACTTTTTAAAATTCGTGTTGTCCGAGAAGTTAAAAACTTAACAGACTCACTCACTGTCATGCCGTCTTTTTGTTCGCAGAGTCTGTAATCTTTTTGATGTATCTTTTTTATGGTTAGCGTATTCAAATGGGACCAACCAATAATTAGCCTACTATTATTATTTGATTGCAGTATGGTAAATTGAACATGGAGAGACAGTAAAAGCCTAACATTTCTTCTGCAAATCTATGTACACATTTTTTGAATAGTTTGGATAGTTAAAGTTACACTGTCTGTTGCCATCACGTTGTAGGTGGAGTTCTGTCTGTATGCTGTCACAGCAAACTGTAGCTAGTCATGGTCACTATTACCTATTATGAACAAAGTAGCCTTTAAAAATAAATTTGCATTGTTAATCCCTGATCTTTAATTTAAAAACTCACAAAAAAATCTAACCTATCATTGGAGTAAAACAATTGAAAATGTCAGGAAAATCTCTTTATGAAATAAAAGTTTTTCTCCAATATACTTTGGCCACAAATAATGACACCCTTTTATTCAATACTTTTTGCAACCTGATTTTCATTTTTCTATAGGGTTCAGGTCAGAGTACTGGAATGGCCATGGCTGAAGCTTCATTTTGTGTTGGTTTTGATGTTTGTTTTGGATCATTGTCCTGATGAGATTTCCTAACAAAGCCCATTATAAGATTTCTAGCAGAGGTGCCGTGGTCAGGTTTAGATATTTTATCTGTTGGTATTTGATAGAATCCATGATGCCATGTATCTGAACAAGAAGTCCAGGACCACCAGCAGAAAAATAGGCCCAAAATTTCACAGATCCTTCCTTTGTGTGTTTAACTGTGGTCATGGGGTACTTTTGATGTGTGCACCAAGCAGCTCTATTTTAGTTTCATCTGACCACAGAAACTGGTCCCGTTTGAAGTACCAAACTGAATATGCTTGGAGTTTGTTCTTGGATGAGAGAGAAGGGTTCTCTTACGAGAGGTTCTCTCGTATTGCGTAAGCTAGCTTACGCTACGGGAAAGATTCATCTTTGCTGAGAAGTTGAAGCCAAAAAATTATTCCATAATTTTGTAATCATTGTCAACGCAGTCTCTTCTGAGGCAGACCATGAGCGGGCTAGCTAGCGGCTCATTGGTTCGCTCAGAGAGAATGCACGAACCTATGGGAGAGCGGCGCTGAGTCCGCGGCCAATGAGCGGACGGCGCTCGCTTACTGCGTCACAGCCCGCCAAAAGGGGCGTGGCTACAGTGTATAAAGGTCGCTCTCCCAGCTCGTTCGTTGATTCTTGTTCATTCAGCGAGCTACACGCATCCGCTGTTCTGGGAAGAAGCCGCCGTCGTTGAGAAGGCACCGTCTAGCGAGCTCCGGAGTCTGAGGAAGCCGGCCGTCTGCCACCTTCAGCCGCCCAGCAAGCTAGCGCCATCCGACGCGTATCCTTTCTTATTATTCCTGCTAAAAGAGCACGAGCGTCTTTTTAAAGATGCCTCGTAATTCCTGCGGCTCTTGCCGCTCTCCGCTCGAGGATGGAGACCGCCACCCCATCTGCGCTCTCTGCCTCGGAGTGGAACACGCAGAACTCGCCCTCGCCAACGGAGGATGCGACCACTGCGAGGACCTGCCGCTGTCAACCCTGCGGGCTCGACTACAGGCGGTCAAAACCGCTCCAGCGCCGCCTCTAACTTCGCCGCGGAAGAAGAAACGCCGCTCCCAGAGGCCGCCGGAGCCCTCTGCGGATCCATGTGGGCCGCCGCCGCCGCCCACCGACCGCTCTCCCTCTCCGCCCCTGCCGGACTTACAGTTGCCGCCGAGTGGCCGCTCTGTCGCCTCCGAGGACACCGCGGATGAGAAGGACTCTTGTTCGCTGCACGCTTCGGACAGCGAGGATTGGTCGTCGATCGGCTCATCGACTAGAGAGTCTGCGGGGACCCGCGCCGGCATCGAGGAGGAACTAACGCGCCTCCTTTCTCAGGCCGTTAGCCGCCTGGGTCTCGAGTGGTCTCCTCCCCCTGAGCAACCACCGAACCGCATGGATGGAAAGTTCCTGCACCGGCGCCCGGCCCCCGCTTGCAGCCGGGCTGCACCCTTCCTGCCTGAGCTTCACAGCGAGCTCACGAAGTCCTGGAATGCTCCTCTCTCGGCTCGTAATCGCTCTGATGTGTCCGCTTCGCTGCGCTCAGTGGACGGAGCTGCCGAGAAGGGTTATACTGCCATGCCGCCCGTCGAGGACTCGGTCGCCGCTCATCTCTGCCCGCCCTCTGCTAGATGGCGGTCTGCTCATACGCTTCCCTCAAAAGCGTGCAGAGCGACCTCCAACTTTCATGCCCGCGCCTATTCCGCCGCCGGTCAGGCCGCTTCAGCGCTGCATTCGATGTCTGTCCTCCAGGTGCTCCAGAGCGACATCTTGTGTGAAATGGCGAGCAGCGGGAGGCAACCGCTCGTCCTTTCGGATCTAAGAAGCGCTACGGATCTTTCCCTTCGCGCCACTAAAGCCGCCGCACAAGCTCTAGGGAGATGCATGGCCGCCCTCTGTGTCGCCGAGAGACACTTATGGCTCACGCTGACCGACATGGGAGAGTCAGAACGTGCCGCGTTCCTCAACGCGCCTATTTCCCCCACCGGGCTCTTCGGATCCGCCGTCACGGGCATCGTTGACCGCTTCTCCGAAGTTCAAAAAGCGACTCAGGCCATGAACTTGTTCCTGCCCCGCCGCTCGAGTTCTTCGACGGGCCGTTCTCACGAGCCGCCTGCCAGAACCACACAGCAGCGCCCGCCTCAGCAAGCTCAGCAGCCCCAGCGTAGACAGGGCGGCCGCCCTCGCTCTCGCTCAGACAGCCGCCGCAGACAGCCTCCGCCCCGGGGGCCTCGACCCAAGATCACGCTGAAGCCTGATCAACAGAAGTCTGCCTAGCACAGCTGAGAAAAAGACGGTTTTCTCCCGCTGCGGCCGGACCGCCGTCAAAGCTTCGCCCACTGTTAGTCCCCGTCTCACCGCTGACTACAGTAGTGTTTACCGCCACAAACAAGCCGGTTTCCCTGCCCGCTTGCGAGCGACTAAAAGCCGTTTTCACGGCTACCCAGAGAGTTCACAAAAAGAGCATAAAAGCCTCAAGTGTAAAAAACGTGCCCACAACCATGTGCTCACGTACACACACAAGCACTTTATGCCCAGGGTCTCTCGCAGAGCCCATTCTCACGGAGCGTGCACTTTCCGCTCCAGCAGCAGAGAACATAAGCACGCCCACGAGCCCGTGCGCGTGTCCCCCCTCTGCCCGCTCTGTCTCAAGGCCCTTAAACTCCTCTCTGAGTGTAAGTCCCGTTGCCTTCCACATTATAAGCGAGCCCACACCCAGTGTCCAGCCCGCAATGTGCAGCAATCAGGGCGAAATCGCCATTCAACCACTAGCCGTATGCTACAAAGCGTGGGAAGCCATCCCCGGCATCTCCCCGTGGGTTTTAAGCATAATAAAGAATGGTTATCGATTACAGTTTCGTCGCCGCCCGCCACGCTCGCGCGTGCGGCTCGAATCCACTGTCAGCCCGGCTGCTATGAACACGCTTCGCTTAGAAATAGCCAAGCTACTGCAGAAGGGCGCTATAGAGAGAGTCCCGCCATCTATGACCGAGTCGGGGTTTTACGGCCGTTATTTTCTGGTCCCCAAGAAAGACGGCGGCCTCAGGCCGATCTTAGATCTCAGGGCTTTGAACAAAGCGCTCATGAAGAGACCGTTCAAAATGCTCACAGTCAGGAAACTCCTCGCGCACGTCCGCCAGGGGGACTGGTTCATCTCTCTAGACCTGAAAGACGCCTATTTTCAGATCCAGATAAACCCTCATCACAGGCCATTCCTACGTTTCGCCTTCGAGGGCCAAGTTTACCAGTATGCCGTTCTCCCGTTCGGCCTATCCTTAGCACCCCGTACGTTCACGAAGTGCATGGATACAGCGCTCGCCCCCCTGCGAAGTCAGGGGCTGCGCATACTGAATTATCTGGACGACTGGCTGATTCTAGCAGATTCCCAGACGGAGCTGCTGTCGCACCGCACAGTTCTCCTCAACCATCTGGAAGCGCTGGGACTCTCTGTCAACTGGACAAAGAGCTCTCTCCAGCCCAGTCAAACTATTTCGTTCCTCGGAATAGATTTGAACTCTATCACGATGACGGCTCGCTTATCCACACAGCGCGCGCGCCGTGTTCAGCGCCTAGCCGCCTCGTTTCAGATGGGTACCCTTACATCCCTGAAATCGCTTCAGAGGATGCTGGGTCATATGGCTTCAGCCTCCGCTGCGCTACAGCTGGGTCTCCTGCACATGCGCCCCCTTCAATTCTGGTTAAAGAGCCGCGTATCCCACCACGAGTGGACGACGGGCCGCCAGATGATCAGGATTACTCAGACTTGTATCACTGCACTGCAGCCATGGGCAGCAAGCGAGTGGTTTCAGAGGGGCGTTACTATGGGAACATTCTCTCGCCGGAAAGTCATCTCGACAGACGCATCCAACTCGGGTTGGGGAGCGGTTTGCGAGGGCTCACCGGCCGCCGGCCAGTGGTCGAGCCACGAGAGTTCCTTACACATAAACTGTCTGGAAATGATCGCGGTCGAGAACGCGCTGCTGTGCTTCCTCCCGCGCATAAACGGTCACCACGTCCTGATTCGCTCCGACAATATGGCCGTGGTATCATACATCAACCGTCAGGGCGGCGTCAGATCCAAGAATCTCTTTCATCTGACACGCCGCATCCTATTGTGGTCCCAGAGTCACCTGCTTTCGCTCAGAGCGACGCACGTGCCGGGCCATCTGAACGACGGTCCAGACAGGCTGTCCAGGAACCTGGTCTCCCCCGGAGAATGGTCCCTGCACACTCAAACAGTCCAAACACTGTGGCGCCTATTCGGCAGAGCGGAGATAGATCTTTTCGCGTCAGAAGAGAACGCTCACTGCCCAATATTCCTTTCAAAGAGCGAGGACGCGCTAGCCCAGGATTGGCCCCGCCGCCCGCTCTATGCTTTTCCCCGATTTCTCTGCTACCGCAGGTCATTCAGAGAATCAGGGACTCACGCCACTCGGTGCTCCTCATAGCCCCGCGCTGGGAGAATCAGATTTGGTTCCCGGAGCTAACGCGGCTGTCACAGACAGCCCCGTGGCCCATTCCAATCAGAGCAGATCTCCTCACTCAAGCCCGCGGCTCGATCTGGCATCCCCATCCACAGCGCTGGGCGCTTCATGCATGGGTGACCAACGACTACGCGTCGAATTGCCAGAAGGGGTTTTGAACACGATCAAACACGCCAGAGCGGATTCTACCAGAAAGCTCTATGCTGCAAAATGGTCTGTGTTCTCCAAATGGTGCACCGACAAGAATTTGGACCCACGGACGTGCGAGGTTTCGTCTTTGCTAGTGTTCCTTCAGGAGATGCTGGATAAGGGCAGGTCCCCATCCACTCTTAAGGTTTACGTGGCAGCCGTCGCGGCGTTCGCTGAACCCCGGCGCGCCCAGTCTCTGGGCAAAGACGAGCTTATCATCCGCTTCCTCAGGGGAGCCAGAAGGATGAACCCCCCTCGCCCCCCTACGGTGCCGGTCTGGGATCTTTCTATAGTTCTAGAAGCTCTGAAAGCCCCACCGTTTGAACCACTTGAGTCCGTGGAGCTAAAATACCTCTCGTTAAAAACCGTTCTTCTGACGGCTCTCGCCTCAGTAAAACGTGTGGGGGACATTCACGCGCTGTCTTCGAGCGCCGCGTGCCTAGAGTTTGGACCGAGTGACTCCATAGTCATTCTAAAGCCTAGACACGGTTATGTTCCAAAAGCGATTGGTACCCCTTTCAGGGCGCAAGTGATCTCTCTATCGGCGCTGCCGGCATCCGATAGCGAACGTGACGCTCACCGCCTCTGCCCGGTTCGGGCTATCAGAGTGTACACTACACGCGTGGCCGCGTTCAGACGCTCGGAGCAGCTGTTTGTGTCGTTCGGTGGCCGCACCAAGGGACTAGCCGCCTCGAAACAGACCCTATCCAGGTGGATAGTAGACGCGATTGCCTCTGCTTATGCCGCTAAAGACCTGCCTTGCCCTCTGGGCATCAGGGCTCATTCCACCAGAGGCATGGCCTCATCGTGGGCATGGTCCTGCGGGATTTCCATCCACGACATTTGTGTGGCTGCGGGATGGGCTTCCCCCTCCACCTTTGTCAGATTTTACAACTTGGAAGTTCCAGCCTTACAGGCTAAAATTCTGGCTGTCTAGTACTCACAGCCCTCCTATAGAAGCCGCACTATCGGGAGTTCCATCACAACCGTTTCACCCCTTGTGTTCCCCTATGTGCTTATGCTTTAGCCTTCACATCACGGCCCGCCTTCGCCGGCCGCCTTGGGCGTTTTTGCACTAGATAGTAACGGCCGCTATCTGGCCGCCGTATTATCTTCATCCACTTATAGATTCCCCCGGTGTTCCCCTGGGATGCTTAGTGGTTACTTAGCGCGCACGGCGTTGACCAGGTGTTCCCGTAGCGTAAGCTAGCTTACGCAATACGAGAGAACCTCTCGTAAGAGAACGAATCGGTTACCTAACGTAACCTCGGTTCTCTCTAGATGAGGGAACGAGTATTGCGTTCCCGGCCGTGCTTGCGCCACCAGCGTTTCGCTTCATGCTACAGAATCAACGAACGAGCTGGGAGAGCGACCTTTATACACTGTAGCCACGCCCCTTTTGGCGGGCTGTGACGCAGTAAGCGAGCGCCGTCCGCTCATTGGCCGCGGACTCAGCGCCGCTCTCCCATAGGTTCGTGCATTCTCTCTGAGCGAACCAATGAGCCGCTAGCTAGCCCGCTCATGGTCTGCCTCAGAAGAGACTGCGTTGACAATGATTACAAAATTATGGAATAATTTTTTGGCTTCAACTTCTCAGCAAAGATGAATCTTTCCCGTAGCGTAAGCTAGCTTACGCAATACTCGTTCCCTCATCTAGAGAGAACCGAGGTTACGTTAGGTAACCGATTCGTTTTTCTTGAAAACCTCCCAAACAATATGTGGTGATGTAGGTGCTTTTTTATTTTATTTTTAGGCGCTCTGCTTAAAAAAATTATAAAAAATTAATTAAAATAATTTCTGCAATTGAATAAATGAATGAGGTATTTATATAGTGCTTTACTATGTACTACTGTACATCCAAAGTGCTTTATATAGTCATATCAGGGGTCTTTGCTCGCATCCACTTGAACGATGCGACGGTAGCCACAAAACAATGGCAGTGCGCTCACCAGTCACCACACACCAGCTAAAGTGGAGAGAAGAGAGAGTGATTTATTCAATTGAAAGTATGGGGATTATTATTAGGAGGGCATGATTGATAAAGGCCAATATTTAGAATTTGGCCAGGACACCCCTGTTAAACCCCTAATCTTTCACGATAGACCTACACAGACCATAGGGTGAGCGCCCCTGCTGGCCTCACTAACACTTCTTCCAGCAGGAGTTTTCTCATGAGCTCTCTCATCCAGATTCTGACAAGGCTCAACCTTACTTAACTACAGTGGTCAACCAGTCTTGGGCTACTGGGTGATATAGCTGTGAATTCTCCAGCTGTGATACTTGGAGAGTCTTTGGCCACTCAAATATTCCTCATCACCATGCATTAAGACAGTATATAGACACATCCTTTTCCAGGCAGATTTGTAATATTTTTAGTTGATTGGAAGAGGAACTGTATTGCCCTGATGATGGAAATGGGTATTTTCAGTGTTTTAGCTATTTTCTTACAGCCACTTTCTATTTTGTGAGCTCAACAATCTTTAGCTGCACATTAGAACTATATTCTTTCGTTTTACTCATTGAGATGGGCAATTAAGGGAATTTGGCCTTTGTATTTCCTCATGTTTATTCGTATGTCATAAATCATGGCTAGACATTTTTCATGTTCGTAGTCACCCTGCTGTGCTCAGAAAATGCAAATATGAATGGGACTAATGGGACCACGGATTTCGTGGGGTGCCAATAATTGTGGCCAACGTGTTTTGGAGAAAAACATTTATATCATAATATGATCCCTCCCCCCTTCAATTGTTTTACCTTAATGAAAGGTCAGATTTTTGTGACTTGTTTAAAGCAAGATCAAAAGAATAAACACTGCAGAGTTATTTTTAGACTACTTTGATTATATTTACCAAGGGTGCCAAAAATTCTGACCATGAGTGTATGTGTCAGCCAGGTTACATAATCTTAATGCTTGGTTAGTGACTCATTGAGTGAGTATTATTTGGAAATTTTACAGAATTATTGAAATATAGTTATATAGAGCTATATTTATAAATATAGTTACACAGAGCCCACGGCCATATCTAAATAATCCAGATAGAAATGTATTTCCCATTTTCAATGTTGTTGTCCCAAACAACAATCCCTCGACAAGATTGCCCAGCAACATTGCTCAAAAAGAGTCCCTGTGTATCATCACCTTAAAAGTGTTTACATTGGTTAAAGAGAAATAATAAATGAGTTCACATGTAAAAAACATACCACTGTGCAAATTGCACACCCCCCCCCCACTGTTATTTTAGTATTATTTGTATGCTATAATATAGTATAATATTTATTAATATTTTAACTTAGCTTTTATTTTTTACGTTTTTTTTATAGTTTCATGAGGTTTTCATGTTATCTTTTGGTATTATTTACATGCATGTCTTTTCTATTATTTGTTATATTTCCATTTAACTTTAATTTATTTTTATTTCAGTTTCTTTTAGTAATTTTAGCAACTGTAACTTATTTCAGTTAGCTGACAAGGCAACTTTGTTTCCATTTTTAAGGTTAAGATTTTAGTTCAGCTTTATTTCTATAAACAACTATTTTAATAGTTTTAGTTTTAATTAACAGTCACAACACTGTCCCGCTGTCGTCCTTTCTTAAAAAGTCATACAATTGCCTCTTGCTCTTTATGTAAAATGAACCTGAATTTTCCAGTTAGCCATTATTTTAACACTACTCAAGTTATTCAAGTAAAGATAAGGGCTCATAATTCTAATGTCTCAAAATATTCTAGAGGCCAGGTTAAACTCTATACAATGCAAGGGCAAAGTTCATGAATGCAACTTTTACGCTTTCTTTTGGTATGTCTGTAAAGAAAGAGGAGATCAGAGTACCACAAGAGTCAATGAGACGACGGCGGTTTAACCAGTTTGCCTCCATGATCTATGAAGAGGAACCATACATGACACCCAGAGACTTCCTCCATTCAATCTTGATGGAGAAGGTGGATTGTAAGTGACATTTCATCATATGAATGACTGTGCAAACACTCAAAAAGAGACATGCACTAGGCGAGGGAGTCACTATTATGTATAAATTATTGTGTGATATTGTGCATTCCTCTTCTCTAGGACTAAATAGAATAGCTTTTACATTTACATTAGGATGACAGTGTTTACCTTTATGAAAAGTGCATACTGAAATATTTCTCTGTTTAAATGTATCTCATGAAGTGGACTACTACCAAAATACACCAAGACCCCAAATTGCTGACACATGCAGCCGTCCCCTCTCTTTTACTTACACTCTCATTTATATTAACATGTTTCTGGTTTGTGTACATCTGAGTGAAAACGCTGTTTATATGGAAGTAATCACCCCTGCAACATGCAGGGGTGATTACTTCCAGATAAACAGCGTTTTCACTTTTATTAGGCCTTGTATTCATAGGCCTCGTATTAGGCCTTGTATTCATAAAGTAAGCGTAATGTACTCTAGGATCTCTCCATACATCACTACGGACGATTTTCACTATGCTGCAAAAGATTGTTGTTACAACAGTTTTTGATCTTTCTCTTATAGGTAAACTTAAGAAAAAGATCCTGACCAAAGCAGTAAGTTCATATTGTTAGTTCACATGAATGTTGCTCTGAAGACAAAATGGACTAGCTCTAAATGAATGTCATTAATATATGATCATGTGTGGAAGTCTGAAAGTCTTACCCACACAATTAAAGCTTTGCCTTATTATCTGATTGGTCAACTCACAGGATATGGACGAAATGATACGGGTGGCTTCCAGGGCTGAGGCAGGAAATTTCCTGTTAAGGGGAATCGGAGACAAAGGTATATGTTGAGCGAACACATGCCTCATTGAGGAAATGTCACGATTAAAATGTAATTTTGAATATGCTGTTTCTGTTTACATAATTGAGTGTTTTAATTGACAAAATTATATCCTTTTCTGAACAATTATTTTCAGGGCTGATCTCTTACACAGAGTACCTGTTTCTCCTCACTATTCTTACAAGTAAGTATTCCTGGCCTTTTCTTCTCTCTTTTTTTTTGTTACATAATTTTCATAAAGAGTTTTCTATAAGCTACATCAGTTTCCAGTCCTTGGAAGCAATTATTTTTGTGATGTTCTTGAAGTCTGATTATAAAAATTTGTCTGCACCATCCTGCACTGCTGATGAATTCACAGCATCATGGCAAAATTAATTTTAGCTGAGCTTGCAGTATTATTTGAATGCAATAAGAAAGAGAGGCTGGCCTTTGTGAAATAACGCAAGCACAATAATTAGACAATGCATCATTGTCCTTGCTGGTTGCATGCCACATTACACATACAGAATGAAAAAAATAGTCCAACTTTGGAACAAAAATAATTTGAGAGATTTGATGACTTCGTTTTGTTACTAGAAAAAAAAATGAGGGAGACAAAATCATTAAGTGGACTCAAAGCCAAAATATTTCCTTGATTCTCATTCTTAGTCTCAAAAGTCACAGAAGATGGGTAGAAAGACAATTTAATCACTGTTTAATCACTTTCTGGTTCGGCACCAACATTTACTGGATCTTATTCACTAACTTGTGCTGTGCTTTGAAATCTGCATATGAATGTTTTGATGAACAAATCATGATTCATCAATAACTTTCATTCTAAAATTGATTCCAAATTTACGAACAGCTGAAACCACTCGTTTGCAAAAATCACATATGCCTGGTGGCCTTGTAAATGTTAAGATAAAATTTTATACATAGATAAAGGCCTTGAATTGCCCCTATTATGCTATTTTAAAGGTTCCTAATTGTTATGGAGGCCTTTACATGCATCAAAGGTCAAAAAACACGAAGATTCTCATTATTATATATTGCACATCACCACATTTTTCCAGTAGCACCTCAGTGCAGTACACAAGATCCAGGAGGTGGAGTCAGATCCAGATCTGAGGGTGGAGTTGGGCAGTGGGTTTAGGGATCAGGGGGTGAAGCTGGGTAGGTTTAGGTATATGTAAGGTGGGAGGAGTTGGATCTGGATCGCATCGGATCTCTGCGAGTCCGATGATGAAACATTGGAAGAACTAGTTATTCAACCCGAACCTCCATCGCATGGACAACTGAGCAGGACGTTTCTCAGTGATGCGCTACTCAGTTTGGTGTACATTATGAGATGATGTCAGTGTAATTCCTCACCATCAGCATCAACAAGAGTATCTCCATCAACAAACCAATGTGCATATTTCTAATTTATTGTGCTGCACATGTGGGAACTGTGTAGCTGAGCTGAGCACTAACATGAATGACGGATGTAACATTAAAGTTTGTAGAACAAATCTGGCTCATAATAAACATCATTTATCATTACTTAAAGTAGTAAGAACAACAGACAATCTGCAAATGAATTTTAGCTAATTGTGTGCCCACAGCTGATAAGCAGAAGTATTTCAGTAAGATGTGAGTTGCCGGTTAACCAGAGACCTACACAATATAAAAACACAAAATTTTTAACACCTGGTAGAAAATATACATTTATATTTACATTATTTACAGGTTGTGATTCTGAGAAGTAAGCTGGTCCAAATAATGTGGGTACTGTCCCCTCTTTAATGGACAAGAGTTTGTAAATCCCATTTAGATCTCAGAGATTTGAGAACCAATCGTCAAAAGGCTATACTGCTGTTGTATCGATGAGGTAAATTTAACCACTGACATTCACATCCTCATCCTTTGGAAGGATTTTAAAAAGAGAATTTGCTTTTGCAGGGCAGAAAACAGCGTCTTCTTGTCATGTACACAACACTAACACTGTTTGAGACGGGGGTCAAACTAGATGTTGTTCGTAGGCAGCCAATGAAGACCATAGTCTGACATTATGCGAATGTATTACTACGTTACGTATGCAGGTCACGGAAGTGAGGTTGGAATTCCTGATGACTCGACATATTAAAAGCTATAGCTTGAGCTACGAGGTTCCTTTACATAAAGATGCAGATTCGCATATGTACAACTGGCTCATCAGAGATCTGTGATCTGGGTTTGTATAAAAGTTTTTTATTGCGTTTGCACTTGTTTTGATGGTGCCACACTTGGCATCTTGCTGTGTGTGCTCAGGCGAGAGCATGAGCGTCATGTTTGCTAAGCGCTACGAAAGAAAATGGTGTGTGGAAAGCCCTTATATGGACATGATTAGGGGGTTTTATGCAAATTACTCAGGCACAAGGCCACTGATTTAGAATACTCTGAATTTATTCATTTTACAGTAAGGTTAAGAACAAATTCTTGTGCATGCACGCAATGAATTAGGTGAACATTTTTGGTGAGAAATTTTCCTGTGCGTATAAAAACGAATAATTCACGCAGCTATTAGTGATTGAGACCCATTATTTTTTAACTACTTGAGTGCAATCAGAATATTGTCTAAAAATCTTTCAATCCTTTTTGGTGAGTTTGCAGTTGGTCTGTACTTGAATAGATGCACATTTGGTGCTATGTGCCTATAGCCCTATTTTTGTTTTTGATATAAAGTTTTGCTAATTTGCTGGCAAAGCCAAAAATACTGCATCTTCACTCAGTGCTTGCTGTGAAACTATACTGGAATATACTGTATTTGCAATAACATCACTATATTCCAGTTGTATTTGTGATATTTACTGATAATGGGGCAGGATATACCCATTAGTTTTTTTCCTCATTGTAGCCAGTATCCATTGCTTTACTCCATTTAACTGCATTGTGATTCCAGAACCTCAAACAGGATTTCATATTGCTTTCAAAATGCTTGACATTGATGGCAATGAGCATGTGGACAAGAAGGAATTTCAGAAGGTATGGCATGTCTTGTCACACTTGTTTTCTCATACTCAAATTGATAATAAGTGCAAATGTGAAAAAAAAAAACACAACTTGGATAAAAAAGGGATTTTAACTGAGAAAGTTCTCCTCACTGCATTTATACATTATGGAATGTAAGTAGTGTGGTCATTAGGGCCTGTCTGCTTTGTGTTTCTGTTAATGCTGGCATGAGATGAGACCAATGTGCACCAGGTATGTGGGAATGGTTGTTGCATGATTGGTGCATGATAGGAGCATCAGAAAAATAAATGAATTTATTGAATTTAGTTTGATTTAATATGTTTGGTGTATTCAAAAACATGGATCAGTGTGCCTGCCATGTGGTACAGAAGTCGGTTATTTGAATGTGCATGATTTCTTTTACTAACTTTACTCTCTTTTTGAAGCTGAAGAAAGTTATTCGACCGAGGAAAGAGCTGCTGATGGAGGGTGGGACAGAGGTGGGTACATGTTTAAGTTCAGCAACTTTGCATGTTATATGGGAGATTTAGATTTTACAGTGATAAAAAACAGTGATTTTTAGGCAAACAGCATTGTCTGTTTCTCTACAGATTTCAGACAGTGATTATGACGTCAACACTACACTACAGGTTTTCTTTTTTGGAAAAAATGGCAAGGAAAAACTCCACTATACAGATTTTTGCAGGTAAAGCAGCATTACTTAAAATGCACACTACCTCTGGTTACTTTAGCATGTTTAAGTGTCTGTGTGATTAGTAAAATTATAATTGTGTGGTTTCTGCAGTGTTAGGCTATTTGATCTTAAATTTGCATTATACTATAAATCTGTAAACTTCTCATTAGTGATGATCAGTTATAATCAGAAATTATTTGTTGCCTTTACTATGATGTTTCCACTCACTAATTTCCTTTATGTATGCTACAAAAATAACGTAATTGATTCTGAATACTGTTAAAGGGTTAGTTCATCCAAAAATGAAAATTGTCATTAATGACTCACCCTCATGTCGTTCCAAGCCCGTAAGACCTCCGTTCATCTTCGGAACACAGTTTAGGATATTTTAGATTTACTCCGCGAGTTTTCACGGTATACGGTCCTTGTCCAGAAAGGAAATAAAGACATCATCAAAGTAGTCCATGTGACATCAGTGAGTTACGTAGAATGTTTTGAAGCATCAAAAATACATTTTGGACCAAAAATAACGGAAACTACGATTTTATTTAGCATTGTATTGTCTTCCGATATGGCTGGGCAAAAAAATGCAAGTCTTCCTCTCTGTTGAAATCCTTAGGCATGTTTGTGAAGATTTTTTTTGTTTACAACGTGCGTCTCCCTCAGAGTGTAAATGAAACTCGGCCGCACCATATACACTTCAGCAGTGTCACTGAATACGGATTGACAACAGAACCGGAAGAGATAAAGTTTTAGGTTTTTGTTATTTTTGGACCAAAATGTATTTGCGATGCTTCAAAACATTCTATCTAACCTACTGATTTCACATTGACTACTTAGATGATGTCTTTATTTCCTTTCTGGACAAGGACAGTATAGACCATTTTGTAAGATGTAAACAAAACTGGTCCAGAAGCACTTCCTGTTTCAGTTTTTTAACACTACATAAAAGCTGGGATAAAATACAACCAACAGAACATATAAAACTGAATCAAAAAGTTAAACAAACATATTTAAGATTTTTTCTTTACATGTGAAATAAAAGAAAACAGTTACAAACTGAAACAGGAAGTGTTTCTGGACCAGTGTTGTTTACATCTTGCAAAATGGTCTATACCGTACAACAGCGTAATACAAAACAGCCCAACACAGTCATCGAAAAAGTGGTGTATGTAGGCACACCAGATCCTTTCTGTGACGCAAATATAGATAGGGGCAATCCGGTAGTATCAGTATAGTTCTAGTGAAGGTAATAATCACCCCAACAATCACAACAACAATAATAATATATTAACATTAGTATTAGTGGTGGTAATATCAATGACAACACTCATGACAACAATAGTAGCATTAGCTCTAGCAATCCACAACAACAGCAACAATAGTACCAATAACAATACATTTAGCTCAGTCAATAATGTCACCGTACATTTGCTCTAAACTCTAGATCAGGGGGCCGATCCACAACTGCCAGTGAGCACAGTCAACAGACATCTCCCCTCGATTCAACAATCTGCAACTTACACAACATGATTTGCTAAAGTTTGTGCTACTGGTTTGCACCATTATTTATTGCCTCAAAAAGCATGTCTTAAAACAAACGCTAATTTGAGCTGCTCTCTAGATTGGTCCTTATGGAAATGATCTGGCTGCGTATGTGTTCTTTAATTTGCACGTTGTCAGTAAATCACTCCCTTTCACTCCGCTTTTATTGGATTGTGCTCTCACGCTAATTTGACTGGTTTGGCATATCTGCCCCATAATATTTTTGAGGAAACTATTTAAATTTTGTTGTTTTTTTCTGAATTATATATTTTATGGAAAGTTCAAAAGAACATCATTAATGCATCCTTGATGAATAATAGTATACATTTTCTTTTAAACAGTAGTGTAAATTTAAAACAAACATTGTTCAAAGTAAGCCGGTTAACTCATCTCCTGTCTACCAACTATCCTGTGTTTTAAGTTTTTTTAGCCTTAAGAGATATTTTAAGGATTTTGCTTTGGTTTTGTGTAGTTTTATGGAAGATCTGCAGGCGGAGGTTCAAGAAGTTGAGTTCATGCGGTTTTCTAAAGGGATGAAGACCATGAGGCGGGAGGACTTTGCTGAATGGCTGCTTCACTACACCAATGAAGAGAACAATGAGGCATACTGGGACAACATGAGGAAGAGGATCCCCACTGGACAGGTGATATGTTTTAAACTCTAATACTAATAGTCCTGAATATTATTAAGATACAGCCTTGGTGAAAAGAATTGGCAGTGACATTAATTTAGTGTTTCATAAAGTTTTCTGCTTCAGTTGTGGTGTTGATTTACTTTCAGATGCATTTGAAATAATTGCAAAAAGCTTAATTGAACAAAAAAAAAAAAAAAAACTTTATCACAATTCTGCAGTTTTTTGGCCCTGGCACAAAATGACCAGCTAACGTCATTTCACTAGTCATATCATCAGCACATGGGAAAGTGTGGATTAAAAGAGCACACTGATTGCTATATAGACCTTATGTAGCCCTGCCCCTTTATAGCATTTTGCTAGTTGTGTTCTGTCTTCCAGTTTTTAATTCCACAACATGATCTTATGAATTAATTAACCACTCAAAAAAAAAAATCTTCTACGCTCTACTGACATTTGTTATGACATCAGCTTCAAACATTACAATGCCCATGATAACGATCATAAAAAACGATTTTCCTAAGAAGAAAAGGTTGATTCTTTGTCATGTAAACAGTAAATCCACATCCTGAGACCATCCATGTGTGGGGTTGCTTCTCAATGGGAGGTGCTTTCGAGTCAGATTTAGAGAACTCTAGAACCTGTTTACTTGAATGCCAACTGCCATTTATAATAAAACCATCAACTGGCTGAAATATCTTGTGAAAAACATGGTCATTACATTATACATTTCATTTAAATTGAAATATCAATTTAAAAAAAAATGATATTTATAACATAAGAAGCGTTGTTTGACAGAAAATAAAGACCTTATGTAGCATTTGTAGCATCCTGTAACATTATGCAACACCATGTAACATATCCATCAGGATATGTTAAATTATCTTGAAATAGTGTCTATATTTTGTGTGAAATATATACAAAATATAGTGTCTATATTTTGTGTCTATAGTGTGAAATAGTGTCTATATTTTGTCTTTGTCAGAGTATCACCTTTGATGAATTTAAAGCATTCTGTCTCTTTACCAATAATCTGGAAGACTTCGCCTTCTCAGTAAAAATGATTAATGATGCCAACAAGCCAATAGGAATGGGTAAGACTGATCTGGATGCCAAATAGTTTTAACTTTTAATAATACATAACTGATTGTCCTTTTCAAGTTGTGTTGATTGAGCCATTAAAATGCATAGCAATCTCCCTCACTATGTTGCTCTATAGCTCAGTTTAAGCGAGCGGTGAAGATAGCGACAGGCCACGACCTTTCAGAGAACGTTTTGGACACCGTTTTTAAGATCTTTGACCTGGATGGGGACAACTGTCTGAGTGATAAAGAGTTCCTCGCTGTGATGAAAGACAGAGTACTACGTGGACTCAGGGTGAGAAACCATTTAGCCCTTTAATTGAATTTTATTTATTTAATTTACAATGTTGCACTAAAATTTATAATTTTTAATAAAAATTATTAGTGTTAAAAGAATTATAGCCCAATCTTGTGACAGTAGTTGTTAATCTTTCTGAATGTGTGCAAGTGGCTCAAAGCAGCAACCGGTAGACTTACTGTAGATTGCACCTGTGTAGGTTCAGCCCCAGCTGGGTATTTCTGGTTATTGGAAATGTGTGAAGAGAGAGACACTGCAAGGAGCTCAAGAAGCACTCCGTGAAACTGGCAGCCCTGTCTGACACAGGAGTGTGTGGCTAGCCATATGTGCTAATATTTGCAATTCCATTTACTTCTTGGGAGGAAAATGGTACATAATTAATTCCTCACAAGCACCAGGGCTTGTTAGTTGTACTGTCAGTTAAATCATAATCGTGTCCTTTAAAGGGTTAGTTCACCCAAAAATGAAAATTAAGTCATTAATTACTCACCCCCATGCTGTACCAACCCCGTAAGACCTTCGTTCGTCTTCGGAACACAAATGAAGATATTTTTGATTAAATTTGAGAGCTGTATAACTACCACATTGGCTGCCTAAGGGACTGGCTCTTGACGGCCCAGAAAGTCAATAAAGAAAATGTTTCAATATCCCAAGTGACTACCGTGGCTCAACTATAAGTTTATCAAGCGACGAGAATACTTTTTGTGCGAAAAAACAAACAAAAATAACGACTTTATTCGACTATTCCTTTTCTTCCTTGTTGGCCTGAAACGAGAATTCCTTAGATTTCCACGACGCAGTCTCGTTTCAGGCCAACAAGGAAGAAAAGGAATAGTCGAATAAAGTCATTATTTTTGTTTGTTTTTTCGCACAAAAAGTGTTCTCGTCGCTTGATAAACTTATAGTTGAGCCACGGTAGTCACTTGGGATATTGAAACATTTTCTTCATTGACTTTCTGGGCCGTCAAGAGCCAGTCCCTTAGGCAGCCAATGTGGTAGTTATACAGCTCTCAAATTTAATCAAAAATATCTTCATTTGTGTTCCGAAGACGAACGAAGGTCTTACGGGGTTGGTACAGCATGGGGTGAGTAATTAATGACTTAATTTTCATTTTTGGGTGAACTAACCCTTTAAAAAGTTTACATGGGTCCAGAGAATACTGCTTTTAAAGTGATATTACCTTTGACCCAAAACATATTAGATACTTACAATTAAGATTATAAACAATCTTTTATATAAAAATTGGTTTCATGATTGGTTCGTTTTCTGTTTTTGTTTTATTGAAAATCTGTGATGTGTTCTTCGGCCTTGGATTTGTGAAATGGACTGTGTAGACTCCAACAAGATTACACTGTCTGTTTGAGATTTTTCTTATATGGATTGGTAACTATTTAATAGTTAATTTGTTTAATTATATTTAGACTTTATTTTACTTGGGATGTGGTATTGTTTACATATAACCTCAATGTAAATCTTTTCTGTTATATACGATTATAATCTAATCATCTAATACAGAGTTTGACTTTTATTCAGAGTTTGAGAGTTTGGCAATTATTACCCCAAAACTCCAGTCTAGAACATTTTTGTACTGGAATTAGTTCCTTTGGGGCTGTTTTGTGACTGAAGAAATGAGCAGTTGAATTTAAAGTGAGCACATTGTATAAATTTTTTAACAGAGTTTTGTCCTTTTTGATTTTCATTTGTGAAATAAAAAAATTAGACTATAAATACAAATCTCGTCTTTTAAATTTAAAGTCTCTGTGTAAGAGCCCATGTGGTATCTGTGATGACAATCTGTTTAACTGTTTAATCTCTGTGTGTGTGTGTGTGTGTGTGTGTGTGTGTGTGTGTGTGTGTGTGTGTCCCAGTTCTTCTATGTTATTTTTATTTCAGAAATGTTCTTAAAAAGAAAATATGCTGCAATTTTCCATTGATATTTTAAGTAATTATCTGAGTAATTGTGCTCTTAACTTTTTGTTTGTTTTGTAAACGTAAATACGCTTGCCTTTTAATCGACTTCTGCAAAATGCAATTTATTACACATTGAAGCACTTTGAAAGTAACTTGTATAATAATTACCATATGTAAAATTCTGCTATTATATTCACAGTTAACTATACATGGACAGTTTTAAGGTTCAAGTTGTTAAACTAGTGAGTGAGTCTGGTGTCTCTGAAACTTGCTGCATTTGAAAACTCTTTTGGAAGATGCGGCTCGTGACGTCAGGAAGGCTCGCGCGCTCTGGCTCACAATTGGTCCAGGGATGCTGCGCGAGAGCTCTAGTCACCCGAGCAGCCGCGCGCTAGCCAAGACTCTCGCATCTACTAAACAAAATCTTCTCTTTTACACTCCCAAAACAAACGGACTGACAGCGTCAACAGCAATACACTACTTCCGAAACCAAGCGCCGCTGCGCGGGGACCGCAAAAATAGGAGCGACGGTGACGTTTTTGTCTGAGCTTGAATCTTGATTTGTTTATCTTGAAGTAGTTTGTCCGCGCGAGGCAATGGTCGCGAGTATCTTTTTGGAGAGGGCGCTGCGCGTGTATGAGGGCTCGTTAAACACACAGACGTCTCAAGTGTCGGGTGCGCGCTAATGAATAGACTTCACTGAATTGATTTTTATATTTAGAGCTTTAATGCGCCTCTTCTCCTAACGGAAACTAGTGGACAGCGCGGCAGAAACGGACGCACGCAGCGACCCTGCAGCATGGCATTTTTATGACATTAAAAGCTCCAGCAAACATACGGACAGCTCGGAGAGGAGACGCTGACTGGATAATATATAAGTGTATGTGCTTTCTAACGATTTTCGTTGCGCTAACGCTGTGTAAACTCCTGCCGGTTACAAAATGATGGTTGGCGGAGCAGTTCAGCAGAACGGGGTCTTATCCAGTCCTCAGCACCTTTCTCAGTCGCCACACATGGACCAGGATCTCTCCGATTCCCGAAAGAGACCATTGGAAACGCCGACCGAGGCGAGCAATACCAAGCGCTCCAACACCGGAGGTAAGATCCGATCGACAGTTCGCGGGTGTTCAGGCAGCACTCGGGCCTTCTGCTCTAAATAAAGTCATGTCAAACGAGACGCTCAAGTCGCGTGCCTAGCTCACTTGTTTGTTTTTCTAAATAACTGCTTTATTAGTCTACTCTACGAGTTTAGATGGTAAAATTAGAAAGAATTGCCCTTATTTTTATTAGTTCGTGTAGGCTGTTTTAAGCACGTGAAATTAAATACTACAGCAACGCTACAAATAATTAATAGGCTACAATTAAAAGGGCCCTGACCCTGTATGACCCCGTGGTGATGATGTGTGGTGGTGGTGGTCGCCCCTCTGAATCCGATGCTAAATTGAGCATAAAATGAATGAAAGGGGGAGAGAACACATGCTGCTGTAGTTTAATCTCTATTCATATGCAGTAACAGACTCCAATGGAAACAAAAGATTGAATTCCCCTATTATAGCTTCTTTTGAAGCTCATAATACATATTCAAAAGAACATTAGGATCCATTTGGATTTAGTTTCCTTCAGGTGTTGCTGATAATGTAAATCACTTGTGCGCATAACACAAGAATTATTATTTGTTTTAAATTCATTTTAGACATAATTTACAAGTGAGTTTCTAGGTTGGATTGTGCTAGTAGATTTAGACAGTGATCAATTTGCTATTTCTTGAGACGGTGGTCTGAGTCATTGCTCTTTAATAATAGCTGTGAAGGTCACGTGATACAAACAATTATGTTCCAGAGCGGTTCTTTTACTATAGACGTGAGTGTTTGGGCATGTTAGATTGGGAGGAAGCGAAAAGAAAATCTCAGCAACGTGGTGTGTGAACATTACTACATTTATGTGAGTGTTGCGCACGGGTTCCCGCTGTGGAGACCCGGTGCAGCTGTCCAGCGAGTGTTTTAACTACATCACCCCGCATTAGGGACACACACACACACTCACACACTCACTGACTGCCACGCGCGTTTTTTAGATTATGCACATGGTTTTCAGTGTTCAGAGCTAATGTGTTTATAAATTCGTTGAGACAGCAACTTCTGAATCTTGAAAAGCATCTAAACTTTACATTACACAAACGTTATTACCTAACGAATTTGATCATTAGTGCTCAATATTTGTGTGAATAATTTACACTAGGCCTATTTAATTTTGATTCTTTTCTTAGTGACAATATGCTTCATAGTAATGCAGTAGGACAATTAACATTGTATTACTTTTCACATTTTATTTTATTAAACACATTTTTTTATAATCATTATGTTAAATAAGATACTTTAATATACACATGATCCAAAACTGTTTCTATAATTTCAATACATGTTACCGTACATGTTATAATCTTCTAAGAGTAAATAAATTGAAGGATAGCAAGCTGAAGGCCTATTATGCACTGTAAAACACACAAATTAAATACTTTTAAAAAATTGAAATAAAAGTTACAACCTGCAGTGAGAAGTTCATCGATTTTTATTTATTTATTTAATGATTTTTTTTTATTTAATTACAAATGATGTCAGAAATCTAGCTAAAATTTAGAAAACGTTGAGTTTGATGAAATGACAGAAAAGGCAAATTAAAGCTATACAAAGAAAGAGAGTTTTATAATGATGAACATTTTTGATTCGTGTGTTTGACAGCTTTTGTAAACGCATCTCATTAAGCTCGGTTTAACGATCCGTCTTTTATTTAGTCAGTGAGTTAGTTATGTCTTTGTTCACTGGCATATCAGACCATCTTTAATTCTGTCCACCTGTCTGACTTTGTTAATTAAAACAAAATCCTATCAATGGACGCACCCTTCCCCCTTACATGACCTTTGACCTGAAGAGTGTGATGGAGAGGATGGTCAGTGATTGAGATCTCCTTTATTCCCTCCCTTCTGTAAACAGCCATTGATTGCTGATGCTAATTTCACCAGTGCACACACAGTTAGAGTGTGTGTGGCCTCTTACCAGTTGCAATTGAAATGGCATGTTAATGTTGCTAATGGAGGTTTTGGCAGAGCTATTTATGTTGGTGGGTTTTTGTGCAGTTCGGTATTAGATCAAAAGGTGCGAGCGAGAGAGAGAGTGAGTGAGAGCGAACCGAGAGAAGGACACAGGTGCCCTTGCAGTGTGTGGTGACGTGAGTTGACTGTGAATTGGGCAGGTGGTGGAGAAAGGAGGGGCGAGCGAGAGAGAGAGAGAGAGAGAGAGGGGGCTCATGTATTCTAGAATGTCCAGTGGATGTGTTGAACGTGATCAGTTTGCCTGAACAGAGGCATCTATACCTCTGCATGCTGCATCCGTGATACCCTGCAGAGCACATCGATATACCTAGTATGGATATGTAAGGAATTTATCAAGCTCAGCTGAAAAAAGCTACCATGCAAATTAAGTATGACCCTGGGACTGAGCTCAGACCCCCCCACCGTATGTGTGCGCACCTGTACGCTTGCGCTGGTTGGGTATAGCGTCACTGGATTTATAGGCAGTAATTTACTTGGCCGGCCCCTTGGCGCTCTGCGGCAGATCCTTTCTGCCATTTTCAAAAATCTCTCTCTCTCTCTCTCTCTCTCTTTTTCTCGCTGTGTTTCCAACATGGCCGTCCAAGGAGCCCACTGCCTCCCCGCTTTCGCTCTATACCTCCTCTCCGCTCATGCAAGGTCACTCCCTCGCACTTTCTTTTTGTCTTTATTTTTTGTTTCTTTCTCTCCCTCTGAAACCTCCCTCGATCGTACCTTTTCATATTTCACCCAAACGTGAGCGAGGCGCTACGTCTTTTATAGTGCTGCGTCAAAGTGGTGGTGGGGGGGCGATGGGAAAGAAAGCCTTGGTGTGTGTGTGTGTGTGTGTGACGCTGGGGAGGGGTGCGGGGTGATTGGACACGCTAGGTGCCTCTCTGTAGAATGCAGCACAGGGCTGGAGCTCTCGCTGAATATGGATGAGAAGGAAAGCAGAGGGTGATGCAGTAGGAAGATTCCCCCCGTCAGTCCGCCTCTGCCTGAACAATACCAAACCTCTCTGCTTCAAACACACACACACACATACACACAGCACACAGCAATTGCATTGGCATCACACACAATCAGAGAAAGAGAGAGAGGGAAATTGAGGGAAAGAGAGCAAGAGAGAGAGACGGGGGCTGACTGCGGGTATGGAGGGGAGGATGCGCTGACGTTGTCCCCCTCTCGGATACGAACCTGGGGAAAAAGGTTGACTGGCCACATTCCTTGACGGCGGCAGAGCTTCTATGATCAGCCTGCAATCGGGCATCGCTCACAGGTCCAGCCTCTCGGCGTCCATGGCTATCTGAACCCCACCTCCAGCACGCTACAGCAGAATGGGTAAGAAATTCTGTCCCCTTTTGTTGACTTGTTGAATGCGTGTGTGCGGATGAGTTGACCGTTTCGCTTTGCGTCTTTTGTTCTTTCGCCCTTTCTTCTCCCGTCCTTCGTTGGCGTCTCTTCATTCATTCTGTGGGAAGGAGAGGCTTGCTTGTCCTTGCAGTGTGCCTAGGACAGGCCCTCCTTTTCACATGCAGAGTGTGTGTGTGTGTGTGTGTGTTGCTTGGGGGTGGAGGGGGGGTTAACAATGCAATCCCTCTTGACCCACTCCTTCTGTGTGTTTGCATGACACTCTGTTCACACTCTATGTGCTGTGTGTAATCATAGGTTTGAGCCCGTAAACGTCTGCCTGTGTTAGCGGCTGTGTAAGTATGGCTCACTGGCAAACAGCAGCAACAGATTGTATTATTTACTCAGACACTCACTGCTGAAAACCTGTTACACCAGCTTTCCTTACATCATCACCGCAAGCAGGAGCGCATGGGTGAGGAGCGCTCCCAAAGCGCTCGTCATTCTCAAATCACTGCATGAGAGTGTGCTCTAGGTTTTCCATTTAACAACAGGTAAGCGACAGCAGACCTTCCCGTTGGCTCTTTGAGCCTTCAGAATGTCACCTCCAAGTCATCTTGGAATGGATTGTGAGGCGGTCGCGATGGAGAGAGCGAAGTTTCATTCCTCGCCTGCCAAGGTCAAACGGTCCACACGCCGACACTGCCGCTCTGTAAAAAACGGCTGCCGGAGGTTGGCTTTTCCGCGAAGCTGTGGCGTGCTGGTGCGACGTACTTCAATGATTGCGAGAGCTCTGATTGCCCTTTCTATATCCTTTCCGTTCATGTGAACGCACTCACTCTTTGCTTATCTCTCCTCCGGCTGCACTCTTCAAAAACCTCCATCATGGATTCCTGAGCGTGTGTCCACTGTGTCCTGTCCTCTTCCTCCGTTCACTGCAAAGTGCCCTCATTAAACAGTCCCTCTAACAGTGTCTGCATTCATTCCATTCACACTCGCACCCTCCCGTTCAACAGACCGGTCATTGATAAGATCGGGATCTGCCTAGCTGAGTGTGTGTGTGTGTGTGTGTGTTTGCTCGGCTGCAGCGAGCATCATGGACTGGAATCCTATCATTACCTGTCAGTCATGTGTGTGTGTGTGTGCAGAGAGCATTGAGTCGGGTGAGGCAATGATGTAATGCATATCCCACTGCGCACCTGGAGCGCTGCAGAGGACAGGTACAGATTGAACCACTCTGCACTGCTCTTTTCAGATCTCAGTCGTGTCTACTAGCCCCTCTCGAGGGCCCTACGTAGGGAGCTGGTGTCCTTGTGTGAGCGTTTGTGTATGACGTCGTCACAAGATGAAGTATTTGTCGGACGCAGCATGTGAGAAACCCTGATGCCAGTCCAGTGCAGAGAATTAAAAAAAATCTCTCACCCCCTGACATTTGCACACATTCATTTAACAAATTATTTTCTCTGGAGTGACTGAGGGAGAGATAGAGAAAAAAGAGAGGGATGAACAAAAGAATAGTAATGCTGCAGATAACTGCTTTTAGATCTGTATAAGTGAGATGGGAATGCAGTTTTTATTTTCCCTTTTCCAGAGTTTCATGCTTTTCTATAGGAATGTGAGTGATTGGGTTGCACTGTGTTTTTCTCGAATTGTCTTTTCAATTGAAATTCTGCTCGGGTATCTTTCTAACTGTGCATTGCACGTTCAACTGCGCTTAAGCGACTTATACTTCTTTCTTTCTTTCTTTCTTTCTTTCTTTCTTTCTTTCTTTCTTTCTTTCTTTCTTTCTTTCTTTCTTTCTTTCTTTCTTTCTTTCTTTCTTTCTTTCTGTCAGATGAGATGATGTATTACAATTGAAGCTAATGTTTGCTTTGATACTGGTGCCATCTACTAACTGGACCTCCCATTCGTGGCTTGATTATATATGCCTGGGCTGACAATTACATTTCATTGGATTTCCTAGATTTTCTGGTATTAATGGGATTGTCTGGATAGGACGATTGATCACATATATCGACCAGACTGGCCTTCCAGTTGTGAGAGTGTGTGCTGTACTTTTGGAAATTTGGAAGAACTGCACAAACGCTTCACGCCAGCATAGGTGACGTTTGGTGTGATTTGGAATGCATCAAGCCTTCCCATAGGAGAGTCAATCAGAGTTGCTTAGAGACCATAATATTTTCACCTTCTCCTTGCTGCCCCTCCCATCTCCTCTTCCCCTTATCTGTCCTTTTTTTTCCCTTTAACACTCCCTGTCTTTTCCTTACTGTAGAAGACTCCTTTCTTTATTCAAATCGTTTGCATCTGAGCTGATGCTTCCATATCTTTTTTCATTATTTGCATGTTTTTTTTTATTTATTATTAGTGTGTTTGCACTTATTCTGCAGTCTTTCTCTCTCCCCATGTATGTCTGACTCTCTCTCTCCTCCTCTCTGCAGTGGTAAAGGGTCAGCTGCAAGAGATTGGGGGCATTTGAGTCTGCGAAATCCATCTTATCTTTCGGATTTACTACAGTCTCTGAAAGACACTGATATAGTACACAAATACAATGCACTTTTGTACCTGCTTCCATTTTGTCACACAATACATAAATATAATGACCTTTTCTGCTACAAATCAAAATAGTTTTTGAATTGTTTTAGCTGTGCCAACAATAACATTTAGAAGGGTATATTAAGTATCCAACATTACTTGAGCTATATAATGTCACTGTGATGTCACCTTCTGGTCCTTGCTTTAGCAATGGACTTTGGTCCATATGTTGTGTTTAGGATGTGTAATATTGTGGTGGGAGAGGGAAGCCTTGTCCCCCTGGGAACCTCTGACTGACTTATGCGCTGTTGGCTGGGTTCTTCTGGACAAATCTGAGGATTTAGCATCCATATGCTCCTGCCTGAACAGCCTTCCAGGCAATTACCCACAAGCCCACAGCCTTAGTATAGTGAAGTGCTACTGCCTACACAACACCCGCCACATATTCTCACTTAAACCTCAACTTCTGACTGTGACACAGAACCTCCATGCTGAGGATCTGAGCTGTTTGTCGGCTGGCCGACCCTTTGTGTGTGTGTGTGTGTGTGAAAGAGAGAGAGAGATGGCAAAAAAAATATTGAAGGACAGAAAACACAGAGATAGTTTGGTTAAATTTAGACCTCTACCAACCCAAAGCAGGTCACTTTATCTCTGCATGGGGAAAAAGTGGGACAGAGGCAGAATCAGTAGGAACTCATCAGGGAGAGAAAGAGAGCGAGGAAAAAGTGAAGAAAGAAATATAAATGGAATAGGAGGGGAAGTGAACAAAAGAAACAGATGTGTCTCTCTTCATGTTTTGTTTGTATATTGTTTGAAAAGTCTCTGGTTGGTTTGTTATATAATCTTACTACAGTTTTAAAGAAATGTGCAACAAATCCCAAAAATACTTTGTACTAAATAGATAGCACATAACTAACAACAAAAAGACATATTATGATATTTTAAACAAAAGTATTATTGTTATTGTGGTACAATTATAAATTATTTTACTATTACATATACAGTGATGCTGTTAATTTACTCAAACTCTTTATCTCTTTTGTGTGCGTGTGCAGAGGAGGGTGAATATTTCTTGAAGGTGTTGATTCCCAGCTATGCTGCTGGTTCAATCATCGGTAAAGGGGGTCAAACCATCGTCCAGCTTCAGAAAGAGACTGGAGCCACCATCAAACTGTCCAAATCTAAAGACTTCTACCCAGGTATGCATCACATTACATTACTTTTATTTTATTAAATACAAAAATAGTCTATGATTAGATCTGTTTTATAAATCCTCACAGTTAAATCATTTTATTTACTGTGTAACAGATGGTGGAGTTAATAGTGCCATGCATAGACTAAACACTCTTGAAAATAAAGGTCCTTCAATGTTTTTGCTTCAAACCCTGTGTTCTTTAAAGCACATGGGTATTCTTTTAATGAATAAATGGTTCTAAGGTACTTAAAGTTCTTCTAAGGCATCAAGCTGTAAAACCATTTTTGTATTAATTGGAGGAGTCTTTATTTTTAGGAATGAAGGATAAAAGTTGTGCTTTTTTTTTAGACTAAACAATCTTTACTTTCACTGATAAAGATTTTTTCTTACACTAGCAGAGCTTTGCAAGCTAAAATTTCTAGAATTTTAGAAAACAGCAGTCTTGGAAGTGTTTGAATGTTATGCAAAAGGATGATGGAGGTAGATTAATGTATACGAGGACGTTTGCAGATGTTGGCCCGTTTGTGTCAAAAACTAGTGTCTTTTCCACCATGTGTCATTAAGAAGCTGCTTCATGTTGTAGCGTGAAAAATAAAAATGGCTGAGAATGACGGTGGAAAATGTGCCCATAGGGAGAGGAAGTATGTGAGAAAGTGTGTGTGTGTGTGTTTCGCAGCTGTGAAGCGTACAGCTGAATATTGTGAACATAATTTGTCTGTGAATCGCTATGTTTTCATTCATTAAACACACTCGTTACAAACTATCCTGAGACCACCTGTTCTGCCTTTCACCCTTCTACTAACACACACAAACACACATTCTCGCTCTCATTTGCCTTCTCACTCGCTTTTGCAGTTTTTTTATCTTTCAAATTCACCTTTCATCATCCCACCAATTTTAAAATATTTTATAGTTTTCAAATAATTTCTTTTCACTTTTTATTCTAACTGCACAATGGCGTAGTACCACACTCTATGATACAACCACAGTTATTTACCAATCAGAAATGAAGAATGAGAATTACTTTGTTCAGATTTATTTGTATGGATTTAATCCTAAATTAAATTTAAATTGAGGTAGCAAGCTGAATGCAGAATTGAAATTTGAATTTAATGCAAAGATGTCTTAAAGTTTTTTTGTTTGTTTTGTTTAATTTTAAAAACAAAAAAAAATGTTTTGAAATTTGAAAGTTTGAAAGTTCACACTACATGGATGGATAGATAAATTAATCATTAATAAATTCATCTTCCTGTAATTCCCATTCAAATTCAACTTCCTGTTTACTGTGACCGATTCAATTCAAATTCTAGTTAATTCATAAAATACTGATATTTTCCAAACCCTGTGTATAACAAGTAGTGCTGCTCTGGCACAAACACCAGCACATCCTCAATCATTCTGGTCTCTGATATAATAGCAGCTTCTCTTCCAAATCTCATTTATCTTATGAGACGTTGAAAGGGAAACATTTAAACTCTCTCTGGCTCACAAGAGAGCTATAAAAAGAATTCACCTACAGCTGAGCGGTTTCACTCCAGCCAGTAGTGCTTTAACACACACTGTACGTAGTCTGTCACATGTACTGTAAATTACAATTCAGTCTTTCTTAAAACTGGTTTAAACGCAGATTCTTACCAAAAACCAAACCTCCTCAAAGAGGGCCAGACTGAAATGAACACTGCACACACACTAGTGTGTGCTATATTCAGGCATGATTTATTTGTAAGCCTTCAACATCTTGAAGAGTGAATGTTGAAACTGCTTGTTTGTGTGTGTGTTGCGCTGTGCATCAGATACGAATAAGTGTGTGATACTCAATCTAGTGGTAAAAAAAAACACAGCCGAGGAACAAGCACAGTGTTGGAGCTCTCTCTCTCTCTCTCTCTCTCTCTCTCTCTCTCTCTCTCTCTCTCTCACACACATACACACACACACACACATATGCAAGGCACTGTTGCCCAGAAACAAACACACGCTACCAACAACCTACATGCCCCCGCTTCCCACATCTCTCTCCCTCCAAAAAAAAAAAAAATAGAAGATGATCATGACAGTATATTTAGGACATTGAATGATACTTTCCACCACAATACTGAACAAATCCAAACTTGAATTCAGGTTGACAAAATACGCAGATGAACGTGTAACAATAACTCATTGTAGACATAATCTCTCTGGTTATGGTGAACAGGGTTCAGTCCAATGTGAGCTCTTTGGTTTCTCACAGTTACAACAGTATTTCAGACAGTCCATGCACTTCAGGGCAGTGAGTTGCCAGAGATTAGAAGATTGTATGTGTGTCCTAGACATTTGTGTGGGGTGTCCCAGTGGAGTTATGTGGTTAGAGAGGACAGGTTCAGAATTTAATGCATTCTGAATGAATACAGCATGTAGCCGTACGTTTATCTCTCTTTTACCCCGTGTTACAACAGCCCTTTTTTATTCTTTCTTATAATGCATTTAAACTGAAATGAGAAATTGCTTCTTTGAAAATGTTATGTGTGTTTGGTGAGTATGGTGACGCTTCCAATTAACTCCAGGTTCATTGTTTAAGCTCCCAGGAAATTGATGAACTGATCGAATGTACATCTTGGCTAAAATGCAGTGCAAGTTGCTTTGGATAAAAGTGTCTTCCAAATGCATACATTTAATTTAAAAACAGTACAATATCACAGTACAGTATCTATTTTATTTCTATTTACTTGATTGATGTTAAGCTTTTCTAATAAATCTTTGTACTGTATTGATATATGTCCAGATTTGATGCATATACACTATCGTTCAAAAATTTGGTGTCAGTGAGTTTTAAAAAAAAAGAAATGAATACTTAAATAGATCAAAAGTGAAAAGACATTTATAATGTTACAAAAGATTTTTATGCATCAAAGAATCCCCCAAAAATTCACAACTGATTTCAACATTGATAATAATTGGAAATATTTCTTGAGCATCAAATAATCATATTAGAATGATTTCTGAAGGATCATGTGACACTGAAGACTGGAGTGATGATGCTGAAAAATCAGCATTGTCATCACGTGAATAAATTAATAAATTTTAAAATATAAACAGTTGAAATTGTTACAATATTTCACAATACTGTTTTGCTATAAATGCAGCCTTGGTGTGCATAAGCAGTTATTTTCAAAAACATTAGAAAATCTTACCAACCCCAATTTTTTAATGGTAGTGTACTATGCATGCATCATTTCTAGGGCTGGGTAAAACTATGTACTTCTCGATTTTTAATTGAATGAACCGTTATCAATTCTTAAATCCCAATAATAAATCTTTTAGTCTAAGCTGTTTTCAGTTGATGAAAAACAAAACTTTGTAACGTTGCCTCCCATCGAATAAATCCAAAAAGCACTGTGCTTTGTTACTTTTGATATAAAACAAAGTTTCAGATTTCAAAATCTGTCCATTTTATTGTGAAATTCAAACAATAAAAACATTTTGGTGCACTTTAATGTGGTGTGACAGATTGCTGTTGCTGCCTCAGATCAAGCGGCACAAGAACTGATAATCTCTTCCTCTTTACTAGTAGTTACAGCAGAAAAAAAAACATTGATTGAACATCAAAAGTTCATTTGGAAATATAAAGGACAACATTTTTATAGCTGATCAAAGTTTACACAGAAAATAGATTTTCTGAGGTATATATATATATACACCTTCAAATTGCGCACATTGAAATTGCGAATTGAAGATACGCCCAATGGAAACACAGGAATTTCGCATAAACTCCCATACATCGCAGAAAGTTTTTACGTTCGCATGAGGTGTTTTTTCAGACAATTCGAAAAAGGAATATTTTGCGAAACTGCAATGGAAACAGTTTTTTTTCGCATTTACAGGTCATCTGGCCTACGTAAAATTCGATCATTCTTTAAAGAAGGCACAGCATGTATTATGGGAATACTAGATTCTAAAAAACAAAGAAATCCCACAATTTATCAAGACCTTGAAGGAGGAGGGATAATAATATGTGCCGTTCCCAAGTATAAGGGCCTTTCCTTGCCATACGTCTCATTTGATTAAAAAATAATGCAGTGGCTGTGATGTACATAAGCTTACCAACATCCGTTGGCAGGATTTTTGGAATGACTTATCACAAGAGGAAAAATTACGTTGTGAAAACGATGTCATTTCACAAATTTTATCGACATTTAGAAAATATCGCATAAGTTTTGCACAAATCTGTAATGGAAACGTGGTTACTGATGAATAAACAGCATAAGGTAAGGCTATTAAGTCCATAACTAGTTTTTGATAAAACAATAAAGTAATTGGTATGAGTCACAGTCATTACAAAAAATATAGAAAATAACAGTAAAAAAGGAGTATTTTGGAAACTACAGTTGATATGTTAAATGTAACATCATGACCAGTGTTGGGAGTAACGCATTACAGGCATTGCAAGTTTTGCAATCAGACTACTTTTTTCCAAGTAACTAGTAGTGATGCATTACTTTAAAATTTAAAACAAAATATTATTATATTATTTATTTATTTTTTTGCAATGTAAGTTACTTTGTTTTCACATTTATTGACTGACACCTCTCTTGACCCCATGTTGAGAGAAATCGTAAGTGCAGAGACGTGTCCACTGGGTAAACATGATGCTTACTGCAGGGGTTCTCAACTCCAGTCCTCGCGACCCACTGCTCTGCATATTGTGAATGTCTCCCTTATTTAACCTGATTAAATAAGGGATTCAGACCCCGATTCACCTGAATCACCTGATTCAGATCCTCACCTGATTCAGATCCTCAGCTCATTGGGATAGACTCTAAGTGTAACGGAGGCCAGCTAGTAGTTGCTGTGCGAGTAAACCTCACTCCCCGATCTCAATAGGCGCTCTAGCGACAGACGCTAGAGGCTGCAGTCTTTAGCCTCCTTTCACAACGTAATTTTTCCTCTTGTGATAAGTCATTCCAAAAATCCTGCCAACGGATGTTGGTAAGCTTATGTACATCACAGCCACTGCATTATTTTTTAATCAAATGAGACGTATGGCAAGGAAAGGCCCTTATACTTGGGAACGGCACATATTATTATCCCTCCTATCTCCTTCAAGGTCTTGATAAATTGTGGGATTTCTTTGTTTTTTAGAATCTAGTATTCCCATAATACATGCTGTGCCTTCTTTAAAGAATGATCGAATTTTACGTAGGCCCGACTCTCACGCCGGAGACCCAGGTTCGAGGCCCGCTCGGAGCGGGGCGAGTAGGACACGGGTGGAGGGGTTACATTGGTGCCGTGACCGGATGAGAGTGAGGTTTAGGGGGGTGAGTGTAACGGAGGCCAGCTAGTAGTTGCTGTGCGAGTAAACCTCACTCCCCGATCTCAATAGGCGCTCTAGCGACAGACGCTAGAGGCTGCAGTCTTTAGCCTCCTTGCTAGAGCGCCCGACTCTCACGCAGGAGACCCAGGTTCGAGGCCCGCTCGGAGCGGGGCGAGTAGGACCCGGGTGGAGGGGTTACATATGTCTATCCTAACGAGCTGAGGATCTGAATCAGGTGTGTTAAATATGGGAGACATATGCTGCGTCCCAATTCACTTACTTATACTACGCCCTAAAAGTATGTACTCTTTTTGTATAGAAAGATGAGTGTGTAGCAAAACAGTAGTTAAGCTTTGGGACATACTATCACGTCATCTTTAACGGACAGCTCTGTCGCGTGCTGCGTGCATCCTGTCACCGTAAACTGCCCTGTCAATCGTCTTGTCACAGTTAAAATCCTCCATTCTATCTAATTTGACTTCCTACCGTTTCGGAGCACGTTCATCTGCCAGTCGTGTCTTTCATGCGGAGACTCTCCTCGTGTTTGCAATTCGAAAATATATTGCATTTAAAAATGCATTTAAAAAGTAATGACTAAACGTATCTTTACAAAAGTTCGCAATGCTTCTGCATATGCAATATAATGTGGACAACATTGAATAAATTCATTTTCGTTAGGTTAGATACTGATAATTAATCACTCAAAGCTCTTTATCTAAACCTCTCTATACAGCCGCGGGACTTGCGCGTCCTCCGTCTGTAGTTTTGTAGTAGTTGTAGTAGTTCTAACCGAATGCTCGTCCACCGTGCAATGGTTTGTGGGCAATATCAGCCGTTAGAGTGTGCATCGATCTACACTTCGGATTCTGACCGGATATAGTAGACCATCCGGGTATCTTTGAAACACTCATTTCAACATACTACGATTTGGGATTAATTCTATTTTAGAATACTATTTACGACGGATGGTATGCGAATTGGGACGCAGCAATACACAATATGCAGACCCCTGGCTTACTGTATATTTAGACTAAAGCCCAATTTATACTGTCAAACTCACGCCGTAGCTACGTCGTGGGCTGTATGTAGTGCGCGTACCCTGACGTGCACCTCTCCAAAAATGTAACCACGCATCAATTCTACGCGTATCGCAAGCGTCTATAGTGTAGAGGCTCTGCCGTAGGTCTGATGCAGAAGTATAAATCAGCCTTAAATGTGTAATAATACATTTTGTAATAGTGTTGAACTTACTTCTTCATGGCGAACCCTAATGTCTGATAGGACAGGACAGTTTGTTTGGTTTTTGAGGTGAGAGACTTTTTATTTTATAGCAAGATAAATAATGTTAGAATAATGACACTGACATATAGCCTGACAACATCTCATCTGACAACAGATACTGAATTAGGACAACGCGTTTTTCTTTGGCACTCGTCACTTAAACTGTGTCTGACAGAAGAGTCAACAGCTTTCAAGCACATCTTTCAAAATAAACGTCTTGCTTCAGAAAAACATTTAGAATTGTTTTTTTGTTTGTTTGTTTTTCAGTTGCGACCCACTTTTGGGTTGTGACCGACCATTAGAGAAACACTGGTTTATTGCATTAGATGAGATTTATTTCCCTTCTAAACAAATTTATTTATTTATTTCCCCAAAACAAAATTTGCCATGTACTGTATCTGATATGAATCAATTTCAAATTGAACTGCAAGCTTGTGAATCGAAATCAAATCGTGAAATTTAGATCAATACCCAGCCCTAAAATTTTACATGTGTATTTTGCCTATATGCTAACATTGTGTTTTTGTGTGTGTGTGTGTGTGTGTGTGTGTGTGTGATCAGGTACAACAGAGCGTGTTTGTTTGATTCAGGGTACAGTGGAAGCTCTGAATGGAGTACATAACTTCATCGCTGAAAAAGTTCGTGAGATGCCTCAGAGCAGTCAGAAGACCGAACCTGTCAGCATTCTCCAGCCACAGACGACTGTTAACCCTGACCGTGTTAAACAGGTTAGTTTGGGAAGTTGCTTTACTACTACACCACACCAAATCCACGCCAGAATTCCTTGTTATTAAATGGGTGTGATGAAGAGTTGAGCATATCAGACTTTGTAGTTTAGGAATTAAACATGAAAATAAGCTATTCCCCTTAACCATAGCTTAGTTCATAATATTTGTATTATTGTGATTATTTTGCTAATAGAATGACAGCAAAGACAGTGAGTACTTCTTACATGTGCAGTGATAATTAGGCAAGCAGTTTGGATGTGTACAAGAGCATTTACATGACATTTTAAAAGGGTGAATTATTAGTCTAACTGAAATCAATTTCTACGGTGCCTTCAAATGTACTTACTGTTAGTTATCTGACAGTGATAAGCAATGAAGATAGGAAAATATACCTGCCCTGAGGAGGCAGAGGGCAGGGCAGACTGGTGGTTGTTCCCCAGGGAAAGAGTGGCTAAGAGGGGCAGCAAAGTGTGAGAGCTGTGGGTTATTTTTACCTGCTTGATCTTTGCAGAATGAGAAACAGAGAGGGAGTGAGAGCGAGCAGCTGCAATGTAAGACCGGGGATCAACAAATGGCTGAAATAAGCACTGACTTATAAGCCAGACCTCACACAGTCACACACACACATACACTATTATACACTCTTAAACATTTACAAGCACACAGGGTTAGATATTGTAAATGCAACTCTCTTTAGTATATTGCGAACATTTTTTACTGTGAAAGTGTGGACAGAAAACAAACATCTATATAACCAGCACGGATGCATTTGAGCTTATTGCAGCTTCTATTTTTGGGGCTCTATGCAGTCTCATGAATGTAATTCTGTTCCTCAATCAAAGTGACACTTCCCCTCCTCCACAGGCTAAACTGATCGTGCCCAACAGCACAGCAGGACTCATCATCGGTAAGGGTGGGGCAACAGTTAAGGCTGTGATGGAGCAGTCAGGAGCCTGGGTACAGCTTTCTCAGAAGCCTGAGGGCATCAATCTGCAGGAGCGAGTTGTGACAGTGAGTGGGGAGCCAGAGCAGAACCGCAAAGCAGTGGAGATCATTGTCCAGAAGATCCAGGAGGACCCACAGAGCAGCAGTTGTCTGAATATCAGTTACTCCAACATCACCGGCCCTGTGGCCAACTCCAACCCGACGGGATCCCCCTTTGCCAACTCTACAGAGGTGTTACCCAACGCCGCCGCAGCAGCTACAGCCTCCACACTCCTTGGCCAGGCGGGTCTTGCGGGCATGGGTGGGTTCCCTACGGCTATGTCAAGTCTTTCCGGTAATGATCTGCTTGCCATTACGTCTGCCCTGAACACTTTGGCCAGTTACGGCTACAATACCAATACACTGGGGCTTGGCCTTAACCCGGCCGCGGCATCTGGGGTGCTCGCTGCCGTTGCGGCTAGCGCCAATCCAGCGGCCGCAGCTGCCGCCAATCTACTTGCCACATATGCCAGCGAGGCCTCTGGAGGGGGCGGTCACCCTGTCGGACCTAGTTTAGGAGGCTTCACGCTTGGGTCTCTAGCGGCCGCCACAGGGGCTTCTAATGGGTACCTGAATCCCTCATCACCGCTGGTGGCATCATCTCTGCTGGGCACAGAGAAGCTGGCAGAAGGCGGAAAAGAGGTGGTGGAGATTGCTGTGCCCGAGAACTTGGTCGGTGCCATCTTGGGAAAAGGCGGCAAGACTTTGGTGGAGTATCAGGAGCTGACTGGGGCACGAATTCAGATCTCCAAAAAGGGAGAGTTCATTCCAGGCACACGAAATCGCAAGGTGACCATTACGGGGTCGCCGGCAGCGACACAGGCCGCCCAGTATCTCATCAGCCAGCGAATCACGTACGAGCAAGGCGTCCGTGCCACCAACCCTCAGAAGGTGGGCTAGGGATGGACAGGAGTGGGGAGGGGAACGACGAAAGTGAAGGAAACCAGAGAGAATGGATAGATAACTGAATGAATCAAATCGATGGTCAAACGGGATGAGCTGGTGCAAGAAACGTGTCCAAATATTTAAACACAAAATAAGGACAATTATAAAACAAATAAAAAAAAAATGATCTGATGGAACTGTGGATAGATTATCTGTTTGGGAAGAGATATTTTGTGAAATTCTGCTGTATTTTTAAAGTTGTTACGTTGTGTAGGTCAGAGAAATGTGCCCTGGGGCACTCAGAGGAGGAGGAGCTCAAACCTCACTTCCTCTCTCTAAGCCAGGGTCTTTTGAATTCTATGTTCTGTTTTTGGCTTCCATTGCTAAACCCCAGTTTAGTTCATACCTGATCCACACCCTGAGCAAGGAGAATTGGAGTTTGAAGCGGCCCCCCTTTTGATATCAGTAAATTCAGTCTCCACAAGTGTAGGCCTGAAATGAAAACAAAGATATCCATGAACCATTTCCATAGGTACTCTTGGTTCCCCCCTTGTTGTCTTCAACTGAGACTTAATCCAAAACACTCGCTGAAAGCTTTTGATCTGCATTACATTACTAATATCTCTGTGATTATTCTCCATTATGGTCAGTTCACACTCAATCTCTTTTAGATTTACTCAAACCTGTGATTCCAGGTTGACCTGAATGTAAAGACTTCCTGATATTGTTGGCGTTTTTTATATGTAAACAGAGTATCAAATTGAGATGCTGGCAAAAGTAGATAGCTAATTTTCAGCCACAGACAGACAGAGACAGACATCATACGTCAAAGTCCAGAACTGGAATGTAACACATACATACAAGTGCAGTTTAGTCACAGGATCCCATTTTGGTGCTATAAGAAAACACATTTGAAGAGATTTTGTTGTCATATACACTGATTTTAGTATTTATGGGAGAGTTTCTCGGGAGCCCTTGTGAATTATTAGGGGGCGTTTTGCAATTTACCCACGAGACTGAGAGCGAGTGCATATTCAAAAGATCCTGCTAGAGAAGAGACAGTAGGATCTTAGAAGCCTGTTTGTTTCGTCTCACTGACTTTTAACTCTTACTACAGAAAAACTTTGGACACACTACCAAGGAATTGAAGTCCTTAGAATCCTGAACTTGAAAAAGAATTGGACCTGTTTAGACAGATGTACCTCTTAACTCCTCCTCTTCCCCTGATTGGAGGAGCCAGGCAATGTCTGTGCCTGTTTTGTTTGAAAGGAGCTCAGGTTGTCATACCTCATGTTTGTGAAGGAGAAAGATTTCCAGTTTGTATGCAGTGCAGCAAAGTCTTGGGTGCATTACAGATTCCACCTCGTTCACATCGCAGTTTGGCAGGATGGCAGCAGAGGTGCGCTTGAGGTAGTGAACGAGAGAATAAAATGACACACAGTTTTTGTAACCTGTCTGAACTTATTTGAAGGCCGGAGGATACTACTGTTCAGCCTTCTTCTGTAAAGCGGCGTCACTGCGAGGCAAACTCTTGCAGGCTAACTGATCGTAATTCTGCTTCCGTTGAGAAACCAAACTGCAGGCCGCAGCGTCAGACGCACAGCTCCGCTTGCCCAACATTTCTAAACCATTGCTGCAGAGTTTCACGAGCCCTCCACCTTTTTCACTGATCAACGGGTCATCAGTTGCACAGAGCGCGGTGATAGTTACTCATTACTAGTTAATTCCACAGTTGTACACTGCATCAAAACGTTTGCTGCTAACAGCATTTTCGGTCTTGCCAGCAATTGGCTCTTGCATGGAGAGTGAGCAGGAGCTCCCGTACAGGGCGAGCAATCGTCTCTGAACCACACTGTGAATCCAGTGGCCTGACGCCATCGCAACTACGGAATGTACTGTACATATTTCACACCATCGAGAGTGCGTCCACTGAGACACGGCATGACGGAATTAAGCAATGAAACCAAGCGAGCACAAGAACACGGGCCACGAGGCTCCGCTGTAGGGACGTCTACCTGTAGTTTACCTTGCTCTTTCGCCAAATCATCGAGGTCATCGAGGGTCCGATTCCCTCTCCCCCCGCGGCGCCCAGACCTGTCATTAATTAGCAGATCTGCATTTGAACCCTGGACTTCCATATATAACAACACTGCACAGCCCAATCTACTGCTGACCTACATGCACACTCTAAAAGTCATTCATCATCTCCCTCCAACTACCAGGCCTCTAATCTACTCGCTAGAGGCGAAGCGGAAACGTAGAAAAAGAAGGAAAGAGAGAGAGAGAGGGAGAGAGAGAGGGGTGAGAGAGTAACCTATTTATATCCATTGCATAATTGTGAGGAATATTAACATTTCCACATCTCTCATGATTGCTGTTTAAATGCCATTCAAAGTTTAACATGCCATACACTCAGTTAATCTTCTTCCAAACTACTAGTTACTGTATTTCGGTACCAGCCGTGAGATATCAAGTTCTCAAAGTATAAATTGATGTTCAATACTGTTTGGTGATCAAACTGTACCTGATTTCAGAAGCACAAGCACTTGGTGCAGCAATATGAGGGTAATATGATTATAGTCAAAGATGTCATTTATATTTGTAGTAAAATTCTGTCTCTCACTCTCTCCGTGTCCTCCCTCTGTCTTTGCACTACCTCTTTTTCTTCCTTTTTCTGTGCTCTGACTTAAGACCCCCACATGTCTTGCTCTGTCACCACTTTTCCCACTTTCTGTTGTCTCTCCTTTCCCCTTTCACTTTCTTCCCCTCCAGGCTGCCGGTCGCCACGGATGTGTTGTGTGTGTGTGTGTGTTTATCACAGAGGGTGTGTGCGTGTCTCCACAGTGGCTGATGGGTATTCTGCCATGTTGCGAACACCGTACCTCTGGACTAATACACGGCATAGTCTAACATTACTACATGTGATCAGATTCTCATGCTCTCTGCCTGATTGATTCAGTATTCTACCTTAAACTAGCTAGAACAGGGAATCTGTGCTCTGTGAGAACATAGTGTCAACCCAGAGAAAAGAACTCTGGTTAAAAAAAAACAAGACAAAAAAAAACAATAACCTAAGGGAGATGGTTGTGATAGCCACCTCAATTCAGACGATGGTGTCACCATCGTTTGTGCTCTGCGTTCTCTTTCCTCTCTCTGAGAACTATCGAAGATCTGCATTTCTGCATTTTTCCTTCATTTTTAAAAAAAAAAATGAAACTGTGGAATCCGTCGCGTCTCATGTTCTTTGTGTATTTTGGTGTAGTTCCTCTAGTTTGTGGTCTAAATGCAGTCTTGCGCTGTTGGTTTCAGTGTGTGATTATCCGTTATACTCGTGTGGATGATGAAAGTGCCAATCAAGCCTGGTTAAGATTAGCTTTGCAATTTGTTTGTGCATTAGAGTTGCTCTCTTTGGAGTGCTGGTGTCCATATCTACGTCATTGATAATTTTAGATCGACTTAAAATGTAAAGAACTATTGGAAGCAATATTGTAGCATGTTGTCAAGTTTTGTGTTTTGTTATGTCTGTTGTATGAGCCTTTGGATTTACTACGAATTTTGAATTAATAGGTTTACATGTACTTTTTTGTAATACCGTAAGTTTAAAAAAAAAAGTAAAAAATGCTGCTATTTGATAAGTGAAATATACAGAAATATTTTAGTTGAGAAAAAAAAAAACACGTCTGGTCTGTTGATTAGGATTGTGCTCGTTTTTTCGACAGGGGTATAAACGAGGTGTATCAATATTAATTACATAGACGCAGTAATAATAGTCAACCTGTGCCAAACTAGACTTTCACAGCTTCTCGACATGTAGGTGTGTGATGAAACATTAGATATCGATAACTTATTTAGAAGCATTGAACAAGTGCCAATTAATCAATATCTTTTAGTTCCAATGAAAAGATAATCAGCGAAGGAACAAAAGAAAACATAGCGCAACGTTAGCATTGTTTTGACCCCATAGCTGCATAGACTAAGAGAAAAAATTGTTTTATGCATCCATATGGTTTTAATGCACTCAGTAGAGGCATCCTGTGCATTCGTTTGACCTGTGGCTTCCGCACTGCTTTTAAGTCATATTGTCTCTGTAGGTCGGCATGGAGTAGGCATACACATGTTATACGCATTCATAACACAGCCATTTATGAAAGTGTGTTTTGTGGATTTAGGTGTTATCTTTTTGCACGTCTCTATTGCATGATATCCAAGTGAATTATTGAGGGGTGGGAAATCAAAACAGACAAACATTTTTTAAACAAGAAACGTCTTGCGTCGCTCCGAGACACACTTCTGCATGTGTCACAAACGGAGCGCTCTTTCTTTCTACCACTTCGTTTGTTTTTCCTCTGGTTTGTACTGCAACTGTTTTTCTCGGTCAGATGGGTGTGGTCTTCTAAAGGCCTGTACACATATTATAGGCCTAAGAACTGCAGCATAACCATGGGAACTGGAGTCAATCAGGAATTCATAAAAGCGAGAGGATTCCAGTTTACGGCGGTGGAATGTGTTCGTACTTATGTGTGAGACTCCATCTTCCGGCCTCTAATTTCAGGGGAACATACCCATGCATGGAAGCGTCATATGAGTTCAGTTTTTTGGCTATACGGTCCTGTTTATTCATATGCGAGGAGTTGCGTTCATCGCTTTCAGACTTCTCTAGTTTCTCAGCTTGATTCTCCTAACCCCACATGTAATTTATGAATGTATTTACATTTGCATAAACTGAAACAAAATGTTATTTCAATGTTAAATGTCTTTTAGGTGTGATGTTTACGGCGGAGGTTGTAAAGTTCATGTAGCTCGATCATATCTGTCAGTGTTAGGAAGGCCCAGAGCCACATTAGCACCCAAATTCATTTCTCTCTCTTCCTGTCTGCTGATGCATCAAATGCACTTTACTGAGCATTAGGTCCCATCACAAACACACACAGTGTAACCTTCTACTGGATGCAAACCTGAACCAAGCAACCTGTTTTTAACATGGAAAACTTTGACAGATATATTGTTGTTTTTCCTGTTGTTGTGTTTTTATTCTTTTCCTCCTTTGGTGTTTGTAAATGAGTTGTAATTTTTTAAAGTGTGTTTATTTTTGTATTTCTGTTCATTTTGGGGAGAAGAGGTCAGAAGGAGAGAGAGAGAGAGTGTGTGTGTGTGTGTGTGTGTGTGTATGTATGATATCTGTCCTGCATTCCTACTACATTCCCTTCAGTGTGTGTGAGCTTGCGAGCGTGCGTGTGTGTGTGTGTGTGTGTGTGCGTGTGTGTGTGTGTGTGTGCTTATGCGTGAGAGCCTTTGCATGGGTGTTTGTTTGTGAGTGTCTAGATAATGACACAGACACTTGTTACCATTGTAATTGCCAACTGTGTGTGAAACTGAAGTGCTTTGAAAGTGAAAGGTGTTATTTTTGATTTTCAAAACTGTACGTTCTGTTCAGTTAAGAGGAATGGAAAATAAATTGCAGAAACCTCTGAAAAGTTTGTGTTCTCAATTAATTGAAACAGTGTTTCCTAACAGTTTCTGTCTTAGGTACTCCACAGATTCAAGTATCCCGCATCGATTTCATTTAGTATTATCATCAAAGTGATAGTTAATAATAGTCATAATGTTCTCTCCCTCATGTATATATTATATATATATATATATATATATATAGCCTATATATGTATATATTATTTTAAAACATTCTTCAAAATATCTTTTGTGTGTGTGTGTGTGTGTGTGTGTGTGTGTGTGTGTGTGTGTGTGTGTGTGTGTGTGTGTGTGTGTGTGTGTGTGTGTGTGTGTTCTGCAGAGAAACAAAATAAAGGTTTGGAATGAAGAGTGAATAAACAAAGACAGGATTTCCTTTTTCTTAGTAGTTAGTAGTAGTTTTTAATAAAAAAAAATTATATTTTAATTTATAATGCTTTTAGTTGTCTTTAAACAGCCTGTTCGGTTCTAAAAAACAATTGTAAGTGGTTTTAAATGACTGAATAATGATTTTTGTTGTCCATTTAAATAAATTGTTTAATTTTATATATAATTATATATAATTTTGTAGCAATAATATTCATCAATGGAGTGGAGGATAGTTGCATATTCAACCAATATATTGCACGCAAACAAATAATTTATCCATTTAAATCTCACATCAGCATAGCCTACTGCATGCGCAGCGAAGCCAAAACCTGCTTTTAACGCTCTCACGCGCACACAGTTGTTTGTAGTGATGCTGTGGAAGCAGTATACGGCCCTGCAGTGCAGCAGTTTGACGGCATGGTTGAAGTGTCATTATGATGAATGGCAAGATCAGTATGAATCATAACGCCTGCTTGTGACGCTGCTAGGTCGCTAAAAGCCAAAACGTGTGCTTGAGACTCATAAAGAATAAGAAATGCATAAACAACATTATGTAATGAACTAACAAACAAATTATAGCTCAGAAAACAACTGTATGGCAATACGCAGTTTCAGATGTAAGTGTTAGGCCTATATAGAGTATTAGCCTACTGCTGAGCTGAAGTGGCTACCTGGTTACCTTGGATACCTCTTATACAGCCAAACCTCAAATGTCCTGTTTCCTCTCTAACACCCCCCCCCCCCCCCCTTCAACACACACATATCTGCTCAATGCCAAACTATTCCCAGATCTTCTCGTGTTATTAGTAGCCTATTATTAGTGTAATTACACATAAACACTAAATAGTAAATATGTAGTAAGATATTGAAAATAAATATCAAGATTAAAGTTTGTAAAGGGATTTTCTATTTTATTCATAATATAATATGATAATAAGAAACCAGTAAAAAGTGTCCCTCAATTTCTCTATTATTATTATTATTATTATTATTATTAATTACATTTTCTGATCTATTTGAGCTTTACCACATCTGTAATAATGAAGAGATATCCGTGAGGTAAGAATTTAAGGTGATCACTTGTTCTCGACCGCCCAGCAGTTGCCATGGCAGTGAGTCCGCTGTAAATTGCTGTGGATCCTCATACGTGGTATGTTTCCTTGATTATGCCTGTAAATAACGAATCAAAAGAATGGTTCCCAGAATGCTGTTAATTCTAGACCCCAGTGGTTATAGATTGTAAAGTGGATTGCAGTGTGCCAGTCTGCTATATTTAATCCTATGATGAACAACACACATCTCAGATTGTGTATATTCTGCAGTGTTGGGGAGGGAGGCATTGAAATTGTAGACTATTGCTAAACTTATAATTTGTATTAGTTAAGCTATAGTTCAGACAAGCTACTGTTTTGCAAATACAGTAGATACGCTACATCGCTACAAAAAGAATAGCTATAGCTGAAATTAAGCCTTATAAATAAATGATTTATAAATAAATGGGTATATGGCAAGCCGTTTTAGCTTTTATTCATTTCCAGGATATGAATTCTTCATATCAACAATTACATTTTTTGATATCAACAATTTAATTGCTGCTACTGTAATTGTATTTTCACTAGTGAAATTTCACTATAGGCTGCCATTCAAAATAAATTGTTGATATCAAGAATAATTTTTTTTACTAGTAGAAATATCATTTGTGATATTAATAAATACATTGTTACTAGTAAAAATGTGAATTCCTGATATAATAATTAAATTGTCACTTAATGGGAGAATGCTGTAGATGAGGCATATGAGAGGAAGAAACTGCGGTATGCTCATCTGGCCACTGAAGCAGATCAGCCGCGAGGATGGAGAGTCCAAGTTACACAGTGGAAGTGGGTTGTCAAGGTTTTGTGGCACACTCTACAACCCGGTTCCTCAGAGACGTCGTATTCAGTCGCCAAGAGTTGCGTCGCACAGTAAAGAACTTATCTGAAGAAGCAGAGGGGAGCAACAACTGGCTGTGGTTGAGACGGAAAAATTCTCAGAAAAAAAGGTACGAAAGCTGTCACTGGGGCGGTACCTTTTCAAAAGGTACAATTTTGTACCTAAAGGGTGCATATTGGTACCTTCATGGTACACTTTTGTACCTAAAGGGTGCATATTGGTACCTTCATGGTACATATTTGTACAATTATGGTACCAATATGCACCCTTTAGGTACAAAAGTGCACCCTTTTGAAAAGGTACCGCCCCAGTGACAGCTTTTGTACCTTTTTTTCTGACAGTGTGTGTACAGGCCGCCACGCTAGTAGAATTCCTAAAAAAAAAGTCGAAGAGTGTATTGGTTTATTTGTATAGTTTGCATTCCAATTACAGGTATTACGTTCCTGTGTATATTGTGTGAATGAGGGTTGGTGTTTGGGCAGATATTGTGTTTTGCGATAGGTGGTAGGCTTTGCCATAAAGGAACCGTTGACACTGAACCTGCTTTAAAGAAGACAGTGAGACTCGACAGCCTTAGTCAAACAGGTTGGCGTGTATATGGTTGGGTTGCGGAGACATTGTGGTTAGGTCACATGTGAACTAGGAAGGAGCAACCTCAGCAGCAGGAGGGATGTAGAGGTGGGGAGACTGGGGAGACCACAGTATAGTTGCAGCCGTCGTGTGGGCTGACACGCCAAGTAAACTGCAGCCATTAATGCCGGACAGAAGGGGAGTCACACCACCATATGGAAAGAAGCTAAAATGGATGGAAAAGCGTATAGGTTACTGTAAAGCTACGTCTTAGTTTGTGCTTATCTTGGCGAAAGGCGAGTACAAATCAGCATGAAGTTGTAACATCTATACTCTCATGTAATGGAATCCTGATTTCTTTCTTTTTCTTTAAGGTTTTATCAGTTAAGACTTGAATTAATGACTTTTATAACTGCTGTATGCTGCATTTTTTTATAATAATTATTATCATAGTTAGTTAGGCTACTAACCAAATAGGCATAGGCAATTGGCATCTAGTGGGATGGACAACTAAACTTAATTTAGAGGCCCAGAGGTAGCCTACTAACTCTGTGGGTCATAAAATCAATTTTTTTTCTTTTCTTTTTTTGGTGTTTAGTAGAGGCACATTTCATTACAACAGACCCAAGAGCTCATTTTCTTTGCACAAGGCTCATGACAACTTATTAAATCCAATGTATGATGTGTTCTTTGTCATGATGAAATTTAGTTAAGGATCCCAGTGTTTCCAGTCCTTCAGAACTTTAGACTTCAGTCATTAATACTTTTAGATAAGCGACAGTTGCTCTCACAGCAACATTTTTTTTTTTGTGTGATAAGACATGCACTGTTAATTCAATATTTTTCTACATGAAGAAATGTCAATGATGCAGACAAAACGAATGTAAAGGGTTGGTATCCTTAATGCCAAAGTGTGAGGGCTCAAACTCACATATACCGATGTGTTATTTTACAATGTCTTGTACAATGACTTCATAGGTCCCACAGGAGACAAGTACATCTTTTCTCTGCACACAATCCCTCATTAAAATCATGTCTTATTCACCCGATAAATCAGGCATCTGCTATCTGAGACAGAAAAGTGGCCTAGAGAGTGTAATGTTTTGCAGACATGAATTTTTAAACTTGTTGATATTTCAAAACCTGTTGTATTGGAAGACTGTTAATTGGTTAGGTGTCAAGGTGTGTTTTGTTCAAGAAGATGAATTATTTTCATTCTGCATATCTGTGTTAAGAATTTTTTATAAAAAAAAAAATCTATGATTTTTGGAAACTGGAAACAGCAGCAAATTATCATTATGTTGATTCTAACCATCAACCACAACCATCTGTCATATATAGTCTTATTGTGTCTCTCTTTATCAGTCTCTCTTGCAGCCATTACAAACGCCATAAATGATGCCTTATAGGGCACCTCGAAGGGAGAACAATCATGGCAGCCAATATGGGGTCACTAAGATGACTTTAAAAAGTGTTGAACCCTCCAAAGCTCTGATGGGTAAAGCCTTTGAGGGTATATATGATCCCTTTTCCAAGCACTCACACTCTCGCCTTAATTCAGTGTGCTGTCTGCATTGTGGCAGTTTTTAAAATGTACCACTGTTCCACATATGCTTACACAAACACAAATAAAGAGGGCCCAGAATATTGGCAGCATTGCAGATAAGACGTGATTATTGCCAGTACAAAACATTTACATTTTTTTTACACATCTCAGTCAATACTGAACATGTCACATACTATTTTATGTCAGTACTTCATTACACACATTGGGATATAAAGTGTGTACGTTGTAGCAGCAACCATTCTCAGTGCAGCATTAGGGCTCTGTCACAGAACGTGTTTTTGCTTTGAAAAACGACAGACGTGGTCAGTGGAATGGGTAAAAAATGCAATTTATTTTGGGATGAGTTTTTTTAAAAAGTTGAAATGGTTTTAACATGAGAGGTGCACGGTAATGATTCGTTAAAGTACAAGTTATACAAGATTTAACACATTTTTTAAGTCAATTTATTGTAGCATATTAAGTTGAAATGACTTAAACATCCAAGATGATTGTACTTAAAAAATCATTTTGCAGCAATTTTGTTTTTACAGACTGTAAAAAAATATTTTCATGATTTGTAAACACAAC